AAAAAAAAAAAAAAAAAAAAAAAAAAAAAAAAAAAATACCCGCCCTTAACCCAAAGCCAGCCATCATGTACGAAGCAGTAGCGACGTACTCCGTACCTATACCTCAACGGAGTGTCCGAATAATCTCCCTCTCCCGTCCACCAACGCAAGAGTCCACATGAAAGGAACAACTCCATACCATCCAGCCCACCCACCATCACCAACTAGTTACTAGAGCAAAAAGAAAAGAAAGAAACCCAAAAAAAGCCCTTCCTCTGCTAGCCCAGAAGGCAAAGCCAAGATAACGACGATGCACGTGTATTTAGAACTGGTCGCTATGAAACAGGGATGCTGCCTCGGATCGCGCGGCTCGTCGTCCTGCTTGCACCTCCAGCGGATGCAGCCAGATTAAGGGGCTGGAGGGACCTTGACAGCGAGCTGGGGAGTATAAGCGAAGACACGCAAGCAACCCTGGCGCGCAGCCTAGTTCAGCCGGTGGTCGTGACGGCGATAGTAAGTGGTATGATTGTTCCCGGAGTTGGTTATCTGAAAAATGTTCATGATTTTATGGCGGCCAGCGCGGTGGATACGGAGTATGTATATCATCTACCGTCGAGGAGTTCGTGCCAGGCGGGGCGGATCGGACAAAAGGAAGCTGGGGGAGAGGGAGGATACGGGGAACATTATGCTTAGTAGTGTATGGAGATGGCAGACTTCATAACATCTTCTCCTTCATCTTCATCTCTCCAGTATTACCGTCTCCTAAGTGTGGACCTTCATATAGAGAAGTGCAAGGGAAGTTGGAGTTGAAGATGTTGTGAAGTAGTTGCGAGAGCAAGCCGAGGTTGTGATTAGTCAGCAGTCTACTTTGTAACAAGAAAAGTCGCAACATCCGAAACAACGACAAGAGGCCATCTTGGACGATCAAGAGTCGGAGTCGGAGTTGGCAGCAACAGGCCGCGGATGGCGGTAGGTTTTAACATGATAACAATATATACAATTACAGTCATAAACACAGGTATATACACGTCTAGCAGTTCTCGCCCATGACAACGTCAGACTGGACGCCGTCGTTCGGCCCTCCAACCGCCTGGACGACAAACTTGCTGCCAGCCTTCTGCAGCTCCATCCTCGTCTCAAACCCGTTCTTCGGGAAGTTGGCTATCTCCTTGACCTCGCCGGAGTCTGAGACAGCGAAGATCTTCCACGAGTCTACGTCCGTCGCGCCATTCCAGCTCACATAAAACACCACCGCGCCGTTCGGGTCGGCGCCGCAGGCCTTGACGCTCGGCTTCGTCTTGGGCGTACCTACCCAGGCGCTGCGGTATGCGCGGTAGCAGTTCGTGACGCCGTCGTTGCCAAAGCGGGCGTCCATGACGATGGCGCCGTTGGCATCGTACTCTTCTATCACGGGGATGGCTCCCTGGCCCATCAGGACGTGGTTGTTGCCAAGCACCTGGTAGCTCCCCTGAGCCCGAGAGACAACGGGCTGTTCAGAGTTCCATACCATGCGGTTCAAAGAGACTTTCTTGGCGTTGAGATCGAGATCGAGCACGAGGCCGGTTGTCGGCTTGGTCTGGTCGTCTGGCGTGAAGTCGGCGTTGTCGTTGTTATGCGTGGTCAGCGTGATCTTGTCAACGGTGTGCTCTTCGACCCGGACTTCATGCTGGTAGCAGAAGTTCGTGCCGGGGCCGAGCTCGAAGTCACCTCCATCAATGCCCTAGAAAACGGACCGTTAGTTAGTTGCTCGGAAGTGCAAGGGACATACATAGATCCAGAAGAAAAGAGCTTCAACTTACGTTGAGACGCCAGACAATCTTGCCCTCCTTGGAGATGAGGAAGATGTTGCAGGAGTATCGAGATGAGACGATATAAGAATCCCCGGACTTGTAGACGGAGTTGACGTGGATGTAATTCCATGGGTCCTTGGATGAAGTTCCAGCTCCCTCAAGTGGCTTTAGGGAGAAGGTGACGGGGATCTCGTCGAGGTGTTCGGCCGCACTCCAGCGGAAGAGAACGTCGTTGGTCTTGATGTCCATTTCCAAAAAGCCTCCATCGACAACCCAACCCTTCTCCGGTCCACCAACAGCTCGAAGATCTGCCTCGGTGACATTGACAACTGTCACGACGATGGTTCCTTGGTCCGTGATCTGGCCTTCGTGGTTGTCCATGTACGATGGGAACTTCATGGGCTCATAGATTGTCTTGTAGTATTCGTTATCGCCGCCGGGCAGAATCACCTCGTGGATCTTCTCATACGAGCTGTCGAAGATGCTCATAGATCCAAGCCCGAATCCAGTCTCGTTCGCAAATCCAAACCAGCTGACCATCACTGGTTTCCCGTCAAGAAGCTGAGGCTTGAAGCCATATGTGCTCGCGTCTTCCGGCCCCTTCCAGACAACTTGACCATTGTCGTCGAAGATAGCTGGATGTCCAATCTTTCGAGCCTTATCTCTAGGACTGAAGAAGATGTAGCCCGGCTCTGTTTGGCCTTTCTTCGTCACATTGAAAAACGGTGTCTGGATATCTGTACTCTGGAATGTCTGCACCGGCCAGAGGTTTTCAGGAGGCGACTGTGCAGATACAGAGGCTGCACCAAGGTAGGTGGCCAGCAGAGTAGCCAGGCATGAGCTGCTTAGGGAGTTGAGGCGCAGCATCTTGGGTCTTTTGCTCTTCTTTTCTCGAGTTCTCCCAACGGTCACGGATTCCACTGCAATTCTTTCTCTCCAGGATAACTACACTGTAGCCCAGGAGAATAGCAGGGTGTATATATATATTTATGCCTACACCAGTGGCATGGCACCCTGCCTGTATTTAAGGCATAATACGGAGTAATATTCGAGTTTCTTCCCTCATTCTCGTGGGATGCCGAGTTAGAGCGTCGATCAGTTTGAGGTTCATCACTGCTGGAGCCCTACCCCGGCCGAGAGCTCTGAACGGGTCGATCCCGGCCTCTACGATTCCTCATATCAAACCCCGGCCTTGCAAGGTATTGTGGCAGAAGGTGGCGATCACAATACTCGAGGCGCTGTTTACAATGTTTGCTCGTCCGACTTCAAACATGCCCGGAGCCACCTCCATCAGCCTCTAATTAACGGAGAGCTGGCTCCAAGACATTCAAAACGAGAGATTATCCAGCCTGCCATGTTCATCGGTTCGTTATAATAATAACACTGACGTTGACGTACGCACCTTATAACACTCTCAAGGAGTTATATATCGACTGCAGGATCTATATTTGCTTGAACAGCGCTCCCCTGTCCCGAAGACAGCCAAGCTTCCCGCCGTTAACCTCTCCTGCATGAAACCCAGGCATGACAGGCCCGATACGTGACTTTGTGCTTCTTTTCAAGCCACCCTCGTATCACCGACTGACAGGCACACCCGCTCCTCTCCTATTTGACTAACAACTGACAAATAGAAGCCCCGGGGAGCACCGCTTCTCCATTACATACTCCGCCGTATAAAAGAATCAGTTCGTCCCTCCGGTTCGGCCAAGTAGTTTGTCGTCTTGCTAGTTCTCGGCATACGGAATTGCGATGGCAAGTGCTCCATAATGCATGTCCGGGACGATTAGCCGGCACTTCTCCTCGAGTGTTGGCGGGCTTTGCAACATCGTATTCACCAGAGCCGAGCAAGTCAAAGGCCGTAATCAAGTGAATATCTGTCAGCAATGACCTTGAATGAGATACTCTTGATATCTTAGGTGTACCTCTGCTGTCCTCATGGTTATCTATGGAGTTTCCGTGGCAATGTGAAATTTTTTAGCGTCTCACTGTTAAGGAGTAATTCATTTACTCGCTAACTACCTAATGGTGAAGCTATCAATCCACCTTCGCAATGTGATGTCCATGTGTAGTAAATACCCAGATACCAGGCATGCGGCATTATCAACTCTATTACACCTCCAACGCTCCTCCTTTCAGTCCTGTGGTGAATATCGTGCAATCATCTTCCTCAATCAAGAACACAAATATACTATGGTGTCTAGGATCCTCCAGTCTTCCACGTCGAGCTCAGCGGGTCTCCGACTACGTTACAGAAATACCTACGGCAAGATGATGAAAATGATTCCATTCTGCTAAAAGGGTGAGCATATGTTCAAATCAGCTAGGGAATAACGAGACCATTGGGTCTGGTGCAAAGCCTCAAATTCCAAATGACGATATATCAATGGCCAAATCACTGTAAGCGCCTTGAGTCCGTTTTCGGAACGAATACGCGGAGAGAATACTGTCAAAACATAATTTCATCCTGCCTACCCCTAATGTGGGCTCACCCATTGATTGATTGATATATTCTGCTTAATGCCTAGCTACTGGATGGCTTTTACACTCTAGGGTTTCATGCGAATATATTTCTATTTGATCTAACTTGCAGCCCCGGGTAACATCCGGCATGCACAGTTGACTATCCGTATACCCCAGCGCTGGATTGCCCGATGATCCTAAACTTCCATGGTACAGTTAACGCTCATCGAACTTCTATCACTCAAAAACCTCCTACAGGTCCGGATCGTGGACGAAGTTCGTCGACCATTGTACCGGTTAAACTCAGGAACGGTTCCTTATGCTTTTTCCTATACCGACTACAACGTAATTCCTATAAAAAACTAACTCCATTCTTTTCTTACAATCAAGAAGCCTACGAGAGATAGTGGTAGGCTAAGGTTCTGCGGACTGAGGTACCACGATCCACTGCCTATATAGGCGTCGAGGGCAACCAGCAGCCCTGCTTAGTATGTCCAGGGACATATATATCTCAGCCTAGTACATCATTGACATTAGGTATTAGGGTAGAATTGGATTTTTTCATGAATTATAAGCCAGAATTATAATATTATACATTCTATAAATATATACAGTTGTGGGTGTAATGCAGATTTACTCGTTAGGGAAGTCCTCGTGTAGCCACGGATCACTGAGCAGTTCCTTTGCAGTACTGCGCTCCTCTGGTCTCCATTTGATCATCCGCTGCACGAAGTTGATGAATCTCTTCTTTCGTTCTCCACTCATATTGCAGATTGTATTTTGGAAAGTGAAGTCCTTTGGGATCAGTGATGGATTCCGCAGAGTCCCTATCATGTGTCTTAGTTTGCGATCAATTATAAACAGTAGCTACTGGACTATCACTGACCATCTGCCCTGTAAAACATTGATGTCCGCTTGCCACTGGCAAGTAGGTCTTTCGGCGCAGGGCCTAGGAGTGCAGTTATCAGTGCGAGATGCCGTTCATCGTCATAATCCTCAACATATAGAGGGTCAACATCTTGAAAAAGGGCTCTTCCCTCAAGGAAATCCCATAACTTTTTCAGTTAGCTCAAGGGCTGATAAATGGCGGTGGCAAGATATCAACACACCATGACTCCTAAGCTCCAGATATCGGCGCTATAGCTGTATCCCTTATCTAACACAACCTCAGGCGCCCGGTATATTTCTGCTTGGATACATCCGTCATGGGTAACAGGACCATCGCCACGAACCGATAAGTCGAAGTCTAGAATTTCCACAAGACCGGTAATCTTTTTTAATGGCCCATAATTTCTGCGAGAGCAATATATGATACGCCCATCCTCGTAGTGCTTCTGAGGCAGTGGGTTGGTATATTCTTCCCTGGCAGACTGGGAGAGAAGAGTAGTATCCTCTAGCTTCACCATGATATTATCTGGTTTGAGATCTGAGGCTGTGTTTAGCAAATTGCTTGTAATATATATACAGAGAGAAACCTACCAGTGTGAATGACGTGGCAGTCAGAATGTAGATAGTCGAGTGCTTGGAGAATCATCTGGAGCACTATTCTGAATATCTCCGGGGGCATCACACCATCATTCCATCTTCTACAGTAACGTTCAAGGCTTTCCCGCAAGGGCTCAAAGACGAGGCATGAGTGAGATTTCTTCGACGTGGGATTTTCGAGTGGAAATGTGTCAAGTATCTGGCGAATGAAATTCCAACCGGTGTGTTTAGGGTTTGCTGCTGAAATATGGTAGAGGATATCTACTTCGGAATCCCCAGGTATCTTACGGGTATCATTATTGGAATTTATCTTCACTGCCACGAACTTTTCCTTGAGCCAGCGCCATCTAAGATAAATTAGTAAATTTGATACTAATATCATCCCAGCACTCACTGATAGAGGTCCCTTGCAAGCCAGACAGTTGCCCTGCTGCCATGTCCCAACTTGTTCACAATCTGGTAGCGACCGTGTAGAACCTCGCCCAGCTTGGCAGGGTAGAAGCAATATGGGTCATAATATGGGGAGTTCTCCTCTTCTAGCGGCTGAGTCAAGCTGAGTTTTGAAGGGATTGCTGTTGGAGGAGGCCAGGGCCGACGTCGAAGAACCTTAATAGGACACAGGTGTGATTTTAATGAAGTCCGTAGCATACCTGTCTATTCGACTCCAATCTGCAAATAAAGTGTATCTTCTCGATGCTCTTCAAAACATTTCTCTGCAGCCTGCGGGAAACATACCAGGGACTAACTACTTAGTTAGTCAATTATCAAATTATATTCTTGGCACTGTTAAGAAAGCCTTCTCGATAGGCGCTACTTCGTGAAGTCCAAGGCATGTACGGAGTACTCCGTACATAATTGCTTTTCTCCTAAGGAGTACTCTTGACAAAATATTCTCTCATATCAATATTTTTGGTTGTACTCTTCCTGTACGTTATTATAAGGGGTTCAGTGCCAACTCTGCCATAAAACAACATGCTCTCCGCAGACAGGTAGTCGGTAGACTCGACTAACCCTTATAGCGTAAAAGAGAAATTGTACTCTGTTAATATCTATCCACTTTAAATGCCAGATATCTCTGGTCGAACACTTCTGCGGCTGTATGTCCGACTTGATCCCTCATTGCCCGCGAACCCCAAAGCCCTGATTTTAACTTTTATACACGAGTTAAGGTTGCAACCGGGCCGGCTTTTTCTTGGCACTGGGCCACAACTTTAACTACCTGAATGTGTCATCTGACCAGCACGTGACTGTATGTTTTCCTGCAAGAGGCCAACAACGACAGAACAGGAACACCTTCGTATCTTGCCTTGTGTGATCTGAGGCGCATCAGCGAAATTTCAGCCTGTTCTACCAGGGTCGAGGGGGTATATCATACTCTTTATCCTGCTACAGCCTAGCTTGAAGCGAAGGCCGAACATACTGTGATTCTATTTATGGTTTGCTCGCCTTCGGCGCCTTAAGGAATGATGATCATCATGCAGGTGCTTAGTTTAAGGCTGAGCAGGCCTCATCCTTCATATGTGGGCTCTCTTTCTTTATTTCATAATCTATTTCAATAATTCCTACTGGTTATCATGCCGTATTTTCCATACAATTCCCTTTATTCGATGAAACCGGATATCAGTTGGTTTAGAGCCATTTACAGCATCTGATGCCAACGGCTTTGAAATGCAGATATCGCGGTCAAGTTTGGGCTCTCCAGCATGGTAGTACGAGTCGGCTTATACCCACCTTTCCATAACCCTGGACTTGATATCCTCAGCTTCTGTGTAAGGCTTAACAGGAATATTTGGCCTTTTATTTGCCTATCTCTAATGGCCCCTTTACCCACCAGCGTCAGCATGTTATGGAGTCATCCTTTCATAAGCAAATTCTTGCGGCCCCCGAAGCTAAGTATCTGCATAATGGGACAAACTCTGCACGGCAGATCCTGTCGTTAGCATCCTATAGTCGGGATTGTCGGCTCCCTTAGCCTATTGGTGTACTACATTGCTGCGGACTGGTCCGAGCCATGGCATGCGTGCCTGTTTCAAATGAGCACCATATCTATCTCTTATTCCCCACGGAAGACGAAGCCATTCTGATATCTCGAGTCTTTTCAAGCTTGGGCCGAACGCTTGTTTCAGATACCTTTCTGCGTATGGGTCTTCCCCCTCATGCGTATATTTTCCTTGTTGGCAGCAAGAAGATCTGTACTTCACTGCCTCAGATGCCTTTAAATATATTGAAAGGAACACTTTTCTAGTAACAATTAACCACTTACTAGCTAATGAAGAAGATAGCCAGCGCCCTGATAAATATGTAATTGTTCGCATCTAGGGTTTCATCAAAGTCATTATGTATTACCCTTCTTTCCTTTCTCCTCTTCAGCCTCATCGTATGAGCTTGATGCTCTTCTTATCTCTCTTATTTCCTTGATATCTCTATTTCCTATTGCTGACGCGTGCTGGGTTCACGCGCATATATACCCACTTATATCTCCGCACTCTTGTCTAGACTATAGGGTAAATACGTGACGCAAAACAGATTCTGTGCTGCTTTTTTTCTATATCCTAGTTCTACTTCTCTTCTCTTTCTTCTACTTTTCTCCCTCTAAGCTTCAAACAAGTCTACTTTGCTCTCTGTGTTTTGTTCTTTGCCAGCTTGTTCTCATTTTCTTTTTGCTTCTGCTTTGTTTTTATTTCCATCAAGTGCGACCTTCTTCCTTGTCTCTGTATATTTTTGTTTTTTACTGAAATGGCACCGATCCTTGGTCACTTAACGGCTCCCGTCGCCCTTTCGGCGCGGTCGTTTGGACTCGGTGGACCAGCTTCTAGCATGTTTATCATTGATATTGCCATGACGAGCGTTGCAGTTGCTCTTGTGGTAAACCGCGTTATTGTTCGGCTGGTGACAAGCAAGAAGCTGGCCTCGGATGATTTCGTTATTATAGGATCATTGGTAAGTCTCCTCCGGCTTGTGTACTAGATTCAAATTGCTGATTGGATATGTATATATGTAGATCATTTGTGTTGCCATGAACGTTGTCAACGTTGTGGGTACGTTTCAGATCCAACTAATATATCCATACCACGTATCTAACCTCCGTATAGCTGTTAATCATGGCTATGGGCGACCTTCGTTTGATGTGCCCGAGGATGACTTGAAAATAGCTCTTGAGGTCAGTTGCTGTTAATAACTGTGTCTTTATGTATGTTTAGACTGACTCATCTTCACCATTGTAGCTATACTTTGCCCTGCAAATGCTTTATAGAGTGACTATAAACATGACGAAGCTTTCAATTCTGCTCTTATACCGCAAGATCTTTGATACCGAGAGGTTTCGATTCAAACTTATTTGCGACGTCCTATTCGTCTATATCATGCTTTACACAGTCGCCACCTTTATAGTCACGATTTTTCAGTGTGATCCGATCCCAAAAGCCTGGGCAAGAGATTTGCCAGGGACTTGCGTCAATCTTACTGCTTTCTGGTATGCAAACGCGGCATTGCACACCTTGACGGATGTCATAATCTTGCTTCTCCCGATGCCAGTCATTAAGGGGTTGAAGTTGCCCCGACGCCAAAAACTTGCATTGAATCTGGTATTTGCACTAGGGATATTGTATGTATTCCTGTATCTTGCCTTATGGTGAAAACCAAGGATAACCTGACTAACTCTTGTCGCTTTCCAGTGTCTGTGGGACTTCTATTGCACGCATGCTTACCCTTAATACGTCTTCTAAGGCTAGCGACGTCAATGAGGGGACGACACTTTCAACGTTATGGACAACAATCGAAGCCAACACAGCTATTATCTGTGCTTGCCTGCCAATGGTTCGGATTCCTCTGTCAAAGATTATTCCGTCCCTATTCCCTACGTTTCAGTACAGTGACAGCATCTCCGACACTAGTAGTGAGGCTTCTACCACCAAATCTAATAGCCCGTTTATTACTACCTGGTGCTCACTGCGAAATTCACGAAGCTCTTCCATACCTGAAACGCAGACGATGCTATCCAATTCTTACGGTCTCGCAAATATCATATTCCCTACTTGGGGATAGGACCATCAATTCTTACGGCGACAGGGTTCTCTTTGCCGCTTCCTTTTTTCTCTCTCGGCCTCCGTCCTTTTAGTTTCAATTCTGATTACTCGACTTCCAAGGTTCTGTAGGCCGGTTTTATTTGGTGTGGTGCATGTTTTACGATATTTAATGTTGTTCATGCTTCTCATGTTGGGCTTGTTTTGGCGTTTAGGGGAACAGTACGGGGATGAATGAAATGTACGATGATGATTCAACTGGCGGGAGTTATGGGAAGGGAGCGCTGTTTCAACCCATGGTTTCAGAATATGTGATCTGGTATGACACACGGTATAGGAGGTTAATATGCATGTTTTCTGATTTCATTCATCACGACTTTTTGCTGTATTTTCTTTTTCTTATCGCTTATCGTTTCGTGCTTATCAAGGTTATCTATCGCTGACTAAGCCAAAATTCGCGACACAATTTCTTTGCTTTTCGAGGGAGGATTGAGGATTGATATTCAGCCAAACAGCAGCTGATTCTTCGTCGCGCTCTCAGGATCATGGGCCCAAAAAAGGGCGGTGGGAATCGTGCTGGGCCCAAGAAATCCTCGAGCTCGCAGCCGGCAGAGATCTCCATATCTGACTTTGTTGCTGCGGGCGAGAAAAACGAAGCTAAGAAATCGAAGGCTGGAGCTAAGTCCAAAGGCAAAGATGCTGGAGGGGAGGCCGCGAACAATCCAGAGGAACCCAAGAAGCCCTCCGTGAGGGCTGTTATAGGCGGGGCGTCATGGACAGGTAAACTGCCTGTTAACATGCTCTCGGAGCATTGTCAAAAGCAGAAGTGGGCAAAGCCCGAGTACACAATGGTAAGTTGTTATATATTGGATATTTGCTATGTTTTATCATGATGATACTGACGGAATAGACTAAAAACGCAGATGGCTTTCTAGCAGATGTGATATTGAAAAAGGTTAACCCCAAAACGAACGACACAGTGACACTACCCCCATTCCGCCTGCCTCCCTCCCACAGGAAATTAGGCACACAACCGACAGCTGTGGAAGCCCGCCACTTTGCTGCTGCATATGCTCTGTTTCGAGTATGTAACATGCGGAATTTGCATATGATGATGCCTCCAACTTTTCGTGATTTATGGAAAGACCAGTTTGCCGCACTTAAGGCTGAAGACGTTAAAAAGGGAAATGGCTGGATGTATGAAGCTGATCCTTTCACGACATTCCAAGAAAGGAATAACGCCGTCGCTGAACTTACACGGCGGAAGGAACAAAAGGCGAAGGAACCAGCTAAACAAAAAGAGGACCGTGTCCAGCTGGGGCTATCGTCAGGTGGAGGTAGCGGCAGTGGGAATACAGGGGGCCGCTGGCTAAAGGCGCCGAAAATTGATATGGGTGATAAAGTGCGTGGGAGAGTTGAAGAACTGATTAGAAGGAGAGCTGTCTGGAATCCGTATGGGATTGAAATATCTGAAAGTGGAAGAAGGAGCATGATGGATGAGTTTGTGAAGCTTGGCTTCCGAACCCGCCATGTTGAAGAAGCACTTTCAGAATGTAAAGATAGAGAGGAAGCTCTTGAATGGCTACTTATCCATATACCAGAAGATGACCTTCCTCCGTGGAGTTTACCGGAAGGATATACCGCTGGCATAACGTTGGCAAGCAACGACCTTGCACGAGAGTCTAAAATAAAACGACTGTCTGCTGCTGGATACTCTGCAGATCTCTGCAGCTCAGTTCTTGATAAGTATGGAAACGATGAACGACTTGCGGCGGAAGCCCTGCAACACCTGTTGATTTACAGTCGAGACCTTGATATTGAATCTGAAAGTCCGGTCAACGGTAATGCTATTTGGGAGGAAGAACATCAAACGTTAGAGGCTATTTTTGATACCAAATATGAAAGGCTATCTAAAAACGCATGCCAAATCATGTCTGAACATGGGACTTTACCATCTATTACATACTCTTTCTGGAACCCAGCGAGGGCTGTTTACCCCGAAAGTCCTCCTGTTGTGGCCATTGTCACAAAGGAAATACCTGCGTATATCCGACTGAGTGCTACACGACAAGCAATACAACATGCCATGGCCGATCTTAGAGGGGAGCCAATGATTTTTAACATAATTGACTGGCTGAATGAGAACCTACCTTGCATTTTGGAGAATCCCGGGAAATTACGAAGCATTTCTGTGGAGGCTGGTGATAATTTGAACGGCGAAAATGATTTACCTCGTACCTCTAATCCAGGATCAACGTCAAAGTCGGCTAGGGGAATGGCACTACGGCCTAAGGGCCCTGCTAATAATGACATCCGACGTAGCTGGGAGGCCAAACAGACTACACCTGAGCAGCAGAAGATGCTCAAAGCAAGACAAGCTCTGCCAGCGTGGGATATCCAAGATGCAATTCTGGACGAAGTTCACTCACACCAGGTCACAATTATCTCCGGTGAGACAGGTAGTGGAAAAAGTACTCAATGTGTCCAGTTTATATTGGACGATTTGATACGGCGAGACCTTGGTTCATCCGCGAATATTGTTTGCACACAACCACGAAGAATTTCTGCCCTAGGTCTTGCCGATCGCGTTAGTGCAGAGCGATGTTCAAGCGTCGGTGACGATGTTGGGTATATTATTCGAGGAGATTCAAAATCAAAACCAGGTGTAACTAAGATCACATTTATGACCACCGGTGTCCTACTACGACGTCTGCAAACGGCCGGCGAAAGTGTTGTTGAAGCTTTAGCCGATATCAGCCATGTGGTTCTTGACGAGGTCCATGAGAGAGGTCTGGATACTGATTTTCTCCTCGCCGTACTGAGAGAAGCTTTGAGAATCCGAAAGGACCTGAAATTGATCCTGATGAGTGCCACTCTAGATGCCAATATGTTCATCAACTATTTTGGTGGGGATAAACAGGTTGGAACAGTCAATATTCCGGGTAGGACGTTCCCTGTTGAAGACATATATCTGGATGATGTGCTCCGAAGCACTGGCTTCGATTCAAACACGCCATACGAGGGCTCTGACGAAAGCGAACAATCGCTGGGCAAAGCTATCCAGAAGCTGGGCAGTGGAATCAACTATGATCTTATATCCAGCACTGTTCAACACATTGATGCTCAGCTCGGAAATGAACCGGGTGGAATCTTGATCTTCCTACCAGGAACAATGGAAATAGACAGATGCTTGTCTTCCATGAAGCATTTACAATTTGCCCACCTACTTCCTCTGCACGCTTCATTGCTCCCAAATGAGCAGAAACGAGTCTTCAATTCACCGCCGCCTGGAAAGAGAAAAGTGATTGCGGCCACAAATGTTGCGGAAACATCCATTACGATCGAGGATATAGTGGCCGTTATAGATACTGGTCGAGTCAAAGAGACCCGATACAACCCAGTCGACAACATAGTACGACTGGAAGAAACATGGGCCTCCCAAGCAGCTTGCAAGCAACGTCGAGGCCGAGCTGGACGTGTCCGCAACGGTACCTGCTTTAAACTGTACACTCGAAACGCTGAGAAGAATATGGCATCCCGTCCTGAGCCAGAAATCCGGCGTGTTCCCCTTGAGCAGCTTTGCCTTTCTGTGAAGGCGATGAGAGGGATTCAAAATGTACCTGACTTCCTTGCAAACACTCTCACACCTCCAGACAACGTTGCTGTGGGCGGAGCCTTGCATATGCTCCATCGCATGGGGGCGCTTGACAATGACCAGCTAACTGCCCTTGGACGCTATTTATCCATGATTCCGGCAGATTTGCGGTGTGCCAAATTGATGGTTTATGGTGTGATATTTGGATGTATCGAGGCATGCTTGACCATCGCTGCTATTTTGACAGTTAAGAGCCCGTTTGCAAGTCCAAGGGAAGCCCGCGAGGAAGCCAAAGAGGCTCGAAGTTCGTTTTCCAATGGAGATGGAGATCTTTTGACAGATCTCGCTGCGTACCAGCAATGGGCGGACAAGATCCGTGAGCAAGGTTATCGGAAAGCCCAGGTATGGTGCCGGGACAAGTTTCTACTTCCACAGACACTGCAGGATATCTCCTCCAACCGGGCTCAGCTCCTTGGGTCTTTGAAAGATGCAGCGCTTTTGCCAGTCGATTATAAGGATCCTGATTGTGAAAGCCGGTGGAATCGTCACAACAAGAACACCCATTTAATTCGCGCCCTGATATCAGGTGCGTTTAACCCTCAGATTGCGTCGATATCCTTCCCCGAGAAGAAATTCGCTTCATCGATGACTGGAACCATCGAGCTTGACCCCGAGGCTCGCACGATCAAATACTTTAACCAGGAGAATGGCAGAGTATTTGTGCATCCCAGTTCTACCTTGTTTGATGCCCAGGTATTTTCTGGGTCTGCACAATACGTGAGTTATTTCACCAAAATGGCAACAAGTAAGGTCTTCATACGAGACGTGACGCGTGAGTATTTGTCTTACACCCATTCCCTTATGGTGTACGGCTAATTAATCTTTTGATAGCATTTAATGCCTATGGCCTTCTGTTATTCACCGGGCAAGTGACACTGGACACTCTCGGTAGAGGCGTGCTAGTCGACGAATGGCTCCGGCTCCGAGGTTGGGCTCGAATCGGAGTCCTGATTTCTCGGCTGAGAATGATGCTTGATGAAGTATTGAGACGAAAGGTTGATAATCCCGGTCTCAACGTGGAGGAAGACGAAGTGATTGATGTCGTCCGCCACCTCGTCCTACTTAACGGGCAAGATTTATAAGCCTATTACTATCCGGTATTCTTCATTATTACTATTTTTTTTTTTTGGATAAGCGCTATTGGTTGGCAGATAGAACAATTTCCGTAGTATATAAAAAGGGGAATAGATTTGAGGTGAATTTTCATATCGTGTCATGATGCAAATAGCACTGCGACGAATTATCACGGAGAAATGCTAGCCTAGATAACTGAAAGATAAGATAATATACATTTGCATAATGGTTTAGCATATATGAAAGCCGAATAATGCGGAACAGCTGAAAGTACATTGCAAGGAAGATATATATCCCCCATAGGACTCCAACTGGAAAGATAGCTTTTGTATACGGATGTCGTTCTTAGCCAGTCAATACCAGGGTGCTCAAGGCTTTCTACCTGCTTTAAAAGCAGCTAAAACATATGTTTCTATATCCAAGGAACTTTGAGTCTGTTATCAAAACGATGTCTAAGCTCGTTTCACACGGCTTCCGCTAGACTTGACCTTTCGTGCTTCAGGTCTGTTGATGTGATGAGCTGGAATCCACTCAGTATCGTAAGTCTTGGTCGAAGGGGTTCCTTCGGTGGAAGCCGGATCTGTAGCGTCGACAGAAGAAGAAACGCCGGCTGACTTTCGGGCACGATCAGATCCCTTCCCACCCTTGCGCTTCTGAGGGAAGTAAGGTGCAATCCAAAGGGTGTAGAAGAAGTAGACAGAGCCTGCTGCGCAGGCCAGGAGGAAGAGGTAGAGGAAGAGGCTGTTTAACAATCATATACGTTAGAAATTACAACGAGGAAGGTGCAGGATCATTACCCCGGGGACTAAAGGCATTAGAAGCTTACACTTGAGGGTCAAAAATGCTGGTATCTTGCTCTACAACACTAACAGTGCCGTTGTAAGCAGTGATCGGATGCATAATTCCTTTGCTATCGCTGATCACAGCAGCAAGGTTCAATGTCAAATCCTGAGGGTGCATGTCGTTGGTGAAGACATAGGGAAGAGAGATTTGATCTCCAGCGGGGATGTCCATGCCGTATGGAGTTGCAGTAAGGTTTCGGACGTTAACGGGGAGCTTCCCTGGAGCTTCAATTGTCCAAAGGGATCCTCCGATAACGCTGACGGTTACGGTTTCAGGATCTGGGTTGGTAAAATGGAGAAGCGCCTCGGTAGGCTGGCCGTTGACAAGCTTGACCCCGAACACCTCAGCATTGGGGAATGTCGTTGATACTGTTACTCCCAGCTTGGGTACATTGGCTGGAGCCTCAGTGTTTTCCTCAGTCCCGGCCTAGCAATTATTGTTAACTATTGGTCACATCTCTTTGCTTTTGGGGTTTAGATATCATACAGATCCCTGGCCACTGACAAAGACGGACTGGGCTGCGAGGAGCGCAAGGGAGAGAAAAGAGAATTTGCCCATATTGACGGCAGATGCGCCAGGAAACGGCCACAACAGAGAAAAGGGAGACCGGCAAGAAGGAAGAAGAGGAGGAGGGGAGGTCGTGAGCAGTTCGAGTTTCGGTGCGATGTTTGGTCTTGTGGCTTTTTACGCATTTTCTCCACGTATACAGAATCGCGATCGCTGAGTCAGCAAGCGCTTATCCGCGCGGCTTCAATAGTCGCCAATTGATTAGTTAGTTAATTAGCGCGCTAATCTCTTTTTTCGAAACGGGAAGAAGCAAGCGCTTACAGACGAGCCCGCAAGCATCGTTCTTTATACCACCAGCCACTGCGGCTTCTGTTTCTTTATCAAGCTACTTCTGGAGGGCTATATATATTTCCCTTGTCCCTCTCGAATTCACTGTTTCTTTCCTGTCTTTTATATTTTTTGTAAGAGCTCGAAGATGGCTCCTGTATCCGCCCAAGCTCAGGAGTTCTTCAACCGGTACGAGCAATTGAAGGCTATCGAACAGACCAAAAATCTTTTGATAGAGGTTAGTATTATTTTTTCTCGAATCCTAGCCAAAAAATTGCCCAATTCCTCCATCAATTCTGTATATTATGTTGTAAATTCTAATTCAGCTGTCTTGCAGGATCTACTTAGTAGAATTACGGAGCTTGAAGATGCTTATCAGCGAGAGCGGTTAGATCATGACAGAGAAACCAGATTTAATCGCGAAGTGCAGATGCATGAAATGGAGCTTATGGAACAGTTGACGAGGTTTAAAACTGCTATGGTATACCTCTCCGTAAGCCTATGTGTTTTAAATCCAAAGCTAATAGATCGTTCTCAAAAGGACCAAGAACCCTTTGTAATTGCACTTCTAGATGGAGATGGCATGATATTCCGAGACTCTTTAGTTCAGCAAGGAGAAAAAGGAGGAAAAGACGCCGCGAATCAACTCTGGTTAGCTATACGTGACTATACATCTGAGACCTTCACCAATATTCATTCGCCGAAGATCGTTGCGAGAATATATGCGAATGTACGAGGTTTAGGGGAAACTCTCTTTAAAGCTGGGATTATTGATAAACCTTCTGTCTTTGAGGACTTCGTTCGTGGATTTAACGGAGGCAGATTGCTCTTCGATTTTGTCGACGTTGGGAGCGGTAAGGATAGAGCAGATGATAAACTTGCAGGCAAGTTATCCAGATTCTCACATTACCATCATGGTTATATTACTCGAAAAAAACAAACTAATAAGCTGCTCTCATAACAATAGAAATTCTAAAACTGAATTTATACAATTGCCATTGCCAACAAATATTTTTGGGATGCTCCCACGATAACGGTTACGCACGTCTCCTTGAAGATAATTTAGCCGATATAGAACTCACAAGAAGAATAACTCTCTTGGAGGGATTCCCTTTTGAGAGAGAGCTTGCCTCACTCATAAGCTCGTATAGAGTGACGAAGTTTGAGACCTTATTCCGGGAATCAAAAATAACTCCCTTATCAAATCATACTTGGGAAAACGCCGTCACCTCAACTTCATATTCATCATCAAATATTGGACACCCCAATCCTCGGGCCGTGAGCAGAACTCCCTCGAACTCTAACGGAACAGCGGCCACCACTTCTGCTGCCTCGGCTACTTCGGGCAGCAGCAGTACCACGCCAGCAACGTGGGCATCTACCATTGCAGCCAGTGCAAGTACAACATTCAAAGATTTAACACCATCCAAACCAAGTACCCCGTCTCCACCAGTTATTGAGCGCAACAAGTATGGACAAAGAGTCGATCGGATAGATTTTAAGGCCGCGCCCAAAGACGAATTAAATCGTGTGAAGAAGTTGAAGTTATGCAACTTATTTTTTCTTCTAGGCGACTGTCCCAACCCAAATTGCTATCATACCCATGACTATAAGCTTGGAAAACAGGAGCGAATGGTGTTGCAGGTAGTGGCTAGAATGACACCCTGCCATTTCGGTACCGAATGTGACGATGCTACTTGTATTTACGGTCACCGCTGTCCTCTCAGCGAGGCTGGAAAGAAAGATTGCTACTGGGGATCAAATTGCCGATTTGATGCTGACGCCCATGGAATTGATACCAATATTGTTAAGCTTACCAAAGTTTGATTGGGGTCGCAATATGTTTCTGTTCTGTCTGTTAAGTCTCGAATATCCTCCTATTCGTTTTTTTAGCAAGTTACTTAGTTCTGTCTGATGTGATTGCTCGGGGGGCTTTCATTCGTTTCTTGTGTACCTTTATGGGTGAGGTTATTTGAATTCGGTCTTTTTTCTTTTATATGCAGTTTTACTTCCACATTATCAAACAGGGCCTTTTAATTATAACGATACCAGGCAGTTAAAACAGAATTGGCCTTTGACCTTTCTAACAAACTAATAGATGAAACAAAATATGATTAAATAATTAAAAAAGGGCACATAAAAAAAAAAGTTCAGGGTACTGTTTATAGGCCCCCAAGAATGAATGCTGCAAATGAAAGACAACGCAGAGACATGCAAAGGGGTATATCGATAACCAAGACAAAGCAGAAAACTCGCTAAATAAAGAATGGCCGGCACATAAGGATCACGAAATGGCAGTTTGGAACATCTGAAAACGTCTTTCCCACCCCAGGGAAATAGGGTCGGTCTCTTTGTTTCCAGTCTTGACACCGTACTCTTTAATGCAGCAGGTAAAAGGTTTTGTAGAGACGGTATCTGCTTTTCCGGAATAGAAAGCATCTATATCAGCGCTTTTGCGCTCCTCCAAGTCACCCCATAGAACAAATAGCTTCTCTCGGAGATTAGCTAGTGCATCCGAGTTGTCACGTAGGCTAGATATACAAGTTAGTGATATGGTTAGTCAGGGGTAGAATGTGATATCAGCAATAGCGTACTTAACGGCGTCCATCTGTAGCAGAAACTCTGCATCAGAGCCCCAGACAAAGAGCGGCATGCGCTCACGCGTCTGTCCCGGCGGGAGAGGAGGAATGTTTGGACCGCCGTCTTCAACAAGGAGACAGAATCGCCACTCCCACCACCGGCTGGCGTCAGAGTCACTGTCGTCAGATACGTCGTCTGTATCGCCAGAGAGGAGGGCGAGGTCTCTATTATATAAAACAGAAAAATCTTCTAGGTTATGGGGGAAATAGTCAACCACGCGGACAGAGGAGCGGTAGCGGACGTTTTGGAAAGGTAACTGGAATTCTACACCATCACAGCCCTTGTATGCATGGGTATCGGCGTCTAGAATGTCTCTGATCAATCGACAAGGTATGGCAGGGTTTGATGCGCGTACTGTTCCGTGGTCATTAGATTGACCGACTGATAGGCATGTAGAAAGGTTTGCAAAATACATACTATGAGGATTTAGCTCATCCCTTTTCGTCTGGACCAGACGAGGGAAATCTGGCTGATCAGAATCTTTCTTCTTCTTCCTCTTTTCTTCCTTTAGTTTCTCCCGTTTCTCTTGCTGCCTCTTCCTTTTCCTGTCCCTGACAGGGTCAGAGCCAGGCGCTTTTCGTGATTGATTATTTTCACTGAAGTTATTGGGCAGTTCTACACGTATTTTTTTCCAATACTGCATTTTTCGTTTAACTAACTCCACGAAATGCAGGTCAGTTTCTGTATCGTTGATAATATGTACTTGTATTTTGTGAGGGTATTTCTGATCGGTGTGTAAGGCGCCTTCCATCCGGCCAGAAAATTTGTCCGCCTTGATGCGCACGTTATAGAGAGTAACATAGTCCTTCTCCTTGACATGTTCTCGAGCGTATTCAGCGTGCGGGGTGAAGAGTGTTATATGGATAGTCATTCTCCCATAGGGGCCACGCCATTGCTTGTCCTTGTCCTTTTTAATGTATTGATACGGACCGTCATCATCGTCCATGTCGTTAGATGGCTGTATATAATTAAAAAGATATTCATTGGAGGTATAATCAGTGACGTAAAGTATGAACCTATCATCAGCTTCCCTGAACGTTTTGACAACCTCGCCGGTAATGTCTATAAATTTCGAAAATTCGGCATCCTTGAGTAGGCAGAACTTGCGGCTCGGGAGCACACCCTTTTTTTTCTGGCTCGGAGTCGAATTCGAGGTATGCTGTTTGCCATCTCCACCGTGCTGGCTCTGGGAGATATTTTGAGCAGAGCCATTATTTTTCAGCAACCGTGACGCATACTCACTCTCTTCTCTGGTTGGCTTGAAGCACCCAGGCTTCGTCTTGTTGGAGTTATCTCGTTTCCACAGAACCCAGGCGGCGCTTTCGTGGTTCGGAGACACATGCATACGCTCGCCCCTGACAATACTTGACTATTAGGAGGAATTAGCACGCTACCAAAAGTATTAACCCTAGAGAGACATTTATACTGGTATCGATACTCACCTTGATATTCCGCAGCAAAATGACATCGCCTACATCAGGGTCTGGAAGATGATCCTTGTTATCATGGAAGTACTTTACCTTGAGGCCTCCCCATGGCCCAGAGCCAACGTCGCGGTCCTTGACCGTGAAGGTCGACATATAAGATGAGCCTGACGTCCTGGTCGGACTGAGAGCATCCACAACGACGGCGATGATGCTGACGGCACCAGATGGCCTTGACTGCGCCGTAGCCACATCATCGAAGCCAGGAGGCCGTCGGTCCATCGTCTCGTCCTCTCAATCTCCTGCACTTGCCCGTCGTTTGTACTGTTTGTACTGTTTGTAGCTGTGTTGTAGCTGCTGGTTAACTCGGGCTCAACCGTGGTCGAGACGCAGCTGTGCAGCCATTCAGACGTTCAGGCGCTTTTCGAGCTCGTCTAAAGCCCTAGCGGCGTCCTCATCGGTGCGCTCGCTGCCTCGTCTCCGTCTCCAGCTCTCTGTCCGCCGTTTCTTCCTGTCCGCCAGACGTTGTTTGCCGTCCGGTGAAGTCGTTGATTAACCTCGTCTTAGCTAAACTTGGTGGTGGAGAGAAGCTGTGAAAGCCAAGCCAAAGCCCACCGAAGAAGAAAAACACCCAAAAAGAAAAAAAAAAAACACCACCACCTCTTCTTCTTCTTCCTCTCGCCTTCTTTCTTCCTCCTCCCTTCGCTTCACAACGCCCAACGTCCGCTGTCGACCGTCTTGCTCTCCGCGCCGTCTCGTCTCCCGCCAGGCTGTTCGTCTCTCCTACGCCCGTCGCTCTCTGGTCGTTTTATTCTTGCAGCTGACTCGCGATCCAGGCCAGAAAAAAGCACACATCTTGTGACAGGGACAGCCCCTCACTAATAAACAACCCGCAAGAACCAGCCGTGGAATAGATAAACAGCATCGAAGCGACCACCATCATGGCTGAACGCTACATCCCCGAGCATCGTCGTACCCAGTTCAAGGCAAAGGGCACATTCAAGCAGGATGAGCTCCGTCGTCGCCGCGAGGAGCAGCAGGTCGAGATCCGCAAGCAGAAGAGAGAAGAGAATCTCGCCAAACGAAGAGGTATTGGCGCCGGGATAGGAGCCAGTGATGGCGGCATGCTCGCAGACAGTGACGATGAAGCTGGTCCTATCGAAACTGAGGTATGCCCGCCCTGTTTTTGACACCCCTTTGAACGTGTTTTTTTTTAGAGGCGTTAAACACCTATCTACACCCCTGACGTCCCTTTTGGCCTTTTTTTTTACATCATGGAGGGCTATACCACGATGTTATTACTATTCTTATCAGATATCGTTATTGTTCATATACCATGAGGCTGGAACTGAACTCTTACTGACATATACCAGCTGGATGCGGAGCTCCCAGAGATGGTCAAGGGCGTGTTTTCAGACCAGATCGAACTGCAGATTCAGTCCACCACCAAGTTCAGAAAACTACTCTCCAAGGAGAGAAACCCTCCAATTGAACGTGTTATCGAGACCGGTGTTGTTAGCCGTTTTGTCGAGTTTCTACGATCTCCTCACACTTTGGTCCAGTTCGAAGCCGCCTGGGCCCTGACCAACATCGCTTCTGGATCCGCGCAGCAGACCCAGGTCGTTATCGAAGCTGGAGCCGTTCCGATATTCGTTGAACTCCTCAGCAGCCACGAGCCTGATGTGCGGGAGCAGGCCGTCTGGGCCCTCGGAAATATCGCTGGTGACAGCCCTCAGTGCCGTGACTTTGTACTTGGTGCCGGCGCTCTTCGTCCACTGCTCACTTTGCTGGGCGATGGCAGAAAGCTGACCATGCTCCGCAACGCTACCTGGACCCTGAGCAACTTCTGTCGAGGAAAGACTCCTCAGCCAGACTGGCCTACCGTACGATGACCCCCACCGATTCATTTGTTTTTGTTTATCCTGCAGTTACAATGTGACTAACTCTTCTCTAGATTGCACCAGCCCTTCCAATTCTGGCCAAGCTCATCTACATGCTTGATGATGAAGTGCTTATCGATGCTTGTTGGGCTATTTCCTACCTCTCTGATGGCCCGAATGACAAGATCCAGGCCGTTATCGAGGCCGGCATCCCCCGTCGTTTGGTCGAGCTCTTGATGCACGCTTCCACATCTGTCCAGACCCCTGCCCTACGATCAGTGGGCAACATCGTCACCGGCGACGACATCCAAACCCAGGTCATCATCAACTGCGGTGCACTCACCGCCCTGCTCTCTCTCTTGAGCTCGAATAAGGACGGTATCCGCAAGGAAGCCTGCTGGACCATATCCAACATTACCGCTGGCAACCCAGCACAGATCCAGGCTGTCATCGATGCCAACATAATCCCACCATTGATTCACCTGCTATCCCATGGAGACTTCAAGACCCGTAAGGAGGCATGCTGGGCCATCTCGAACGCCACCTCTGGTGGTCTCCAGAAGCCAGACCAGATCCGCTACCTCGTCAGCCAAGGCTGCATCAAGCCTCTCTGCGACCTTCTCTCTTGCCCCGACAACAAGATCATTCAGGTTGCCCTTGATGGCCTAGAAAACATCCTTAAGGTCGGTGAGATGGACAAGGAGGCTGGCCAGGGCCCCGAAGCTAACATCAACCGATACGCACTCTTCATTGAGGAGGCTGGTGGTATGGAGAAGATCCACGACAGCCAGAACAACGCCAATGAGGAGATCTACATGAAGGCATACAACATCATTGAGAAGTATTTCTCTGATGACGATGAAGCCGGTGCCGATATTGATGAGCTTGCCCCCCAGCAAACACAGACTGGATTCGCCCTTGGTACCAACCAGCAGCCTACCGGCACCTTCAACTTTGCTAACGGCGATTCAATGGATATGTAAAAGCCGTCTCAAATGGTAAAAGATATTTTTTGTTTCCCACTTAGCTCTCAATGCAGTCCTGCCACTCAGCAGAAATGGTATCTTTTTCTCCCTCTATCATCTTGACTGCCTTCCTGAACCCACTCCTTGTGCATCCAATTTTTTTTTTTTTTATTATCTATCTATTTCTTTCTTTGCCTTTCCTTTCTCCTCAGATTTAACTGCCATGTTACTTATCCCCATCGTTGATTCCTCCTGCTCTTACCTTTGTAATGAACGTTATATCATGATACACAAGATTCACAGTCATGTAACCCCCTGAGTGTTCTTATTTTTGGTATTTCCTTGCATTAACATTTCCCCCAAGCAGGTTCCATCCATACAGGCGTCGCTTTCTTTCTTTTTTCTTCCTTTTCCTATCTCATTGTCCGCAACTTTTCCCCCTTCATTCCCACCCCCTTTTTTGCGCCTTTCCATTCATCCACGTTCGAACCACAATTCCCCAGTACTTCAAATCGAGTCTGCCTCCCGAGTGTATTTACCAAAAATCCGTTTCTTACGGCAAAACGTGGGATTTCCCCATATCTACCTGTTCGATGCCTTCACACATCTCAACCGACCCCTTTGCGGCGTTTCGTATATCACCACTGCCCACCGCTTACCTCCTCCCTTGCCCCTGGTCCCAAAGCCCACCTCAAGCCCAACGCAACCATCCATGCAATGTTGTCTGCCCAAAGCACTTGCATCGCAAAAACATAATAAAGTGGCACAGACTTCTATAATCTCCGTGTTCTATTTATAATAACTTCGTCTTGAATGGCGAAGGCCGTGCCTCCCATACATACCCACCTTGTATTAGCCCTTATACTGCCCCAAGCCAACTCTCCGTACCCTACATCCTCGCCAAAAGAGAAAAGTAAAAGGGAAAAAAAAATACTTTATCTAGTTCTTTCGATAGCATGTAGTAGAGATACTAGTTTGATCCAACAATACTGAAAAGTTCATAACCAAAATTGTAGCAGGTGGAAACCATATTGGAAACACTGATACACCTTTCTATCACTTCATCTATCAGATCCAGGAGTGTATATTGCCGACAAATAATGTAACAAATCTTGGAGTCGTAGATCATAGTGCCTGTAAAATGGCATCACACATCTTCACCACCTTCTCTTCCTCGAGCCGGCGCCCAACTAGTTGAAGGCTGACAGACATCCCGTGAATGACACCAGGGTTGTCTAGTGTAAAAACCGTTAGTGATATACTAACCTGGCTGGAAGCCGGTAAGGTTAGGGGAAAGACATACATTCACTCTGTACCAAAGCATCTTCCTTGCTGAGTGGTGTTTCCCCAACTGCTGGGACATCAACGGCTTGATCAACGGCCACTCTACATGGGAATGATATGCAGGAATAGTCCAAAATATTGAACACGCCCGTATAAGCGACATGCCTGAATTTAGAATGTTCGACGGCAGCAAAGGGTGCCGTTGGGGCTATTTCGGGGGATTAGCATGGTATTTAAGAGATTCGAGTACCCATTGAAGAAAAAGCATACCCAATATAGCATCGAGTCCTAGTGTGTTCCATCGGTCTAAGTAGTCCTTTTGTAGGGTATTTCGTTCTTGATGGAGTTGCCATAAGTTATATACGCCATGGTCAACTGCACGGCCATACCGTTCCATCTCAGGTCGGATAGGCTCATCAGACATTGCAAGCAGTTTTTCAACCGACTTTCCACCATCAGAGAGAAAGAAGCGGTCCTATAGTTACATTAGACGGGGTGGATGTTAACGTGAAAATGAGAACAAGGAGATAGCTATTCATACTAGTATATCGGCAGCTTGAGCATGGCCGATGGGTTGCCAGTCAACAACTTCATGACCTGCCAGCCTCAGCTTCTCTGCTGTTTCTTTCAGAGCTCTTCTGACAGGAGGAGTGGGCCGAACCATGCCATCGTTCCATAGAATGCCTATTTTCAGGCTTCTTTTGAGCTCAACTTCTCTCCATGGAATAGGAAGGCATTTCGGGTCGGTGATCCATGGCTGAGAACCGACAACTGCTTCGGCCCAGAGAGAGATAGAGCGTAGATCTCGTGCCATGGGACCATTGACGCTGGTTACTGACTCTTGTCCCGCAAGACCAGATTTGGTCTTGAAGTTAGGGAAACGGCCGAAAGAGGGCTTCAGGGTAAAGATTCCTGTGAGAGCGGCAGGTATACGCAGAGATCCGCCTGGGATAGATTAGTCTAGTTAAGATTGCAAGTTGCTAATAATGGACAGCCTACCAATATCAGTGCCAACTCCAAGGGGGCTCCCTCGGAATGCTATTAAAGCCGACTCGCCTCCTGAAGAGCCTCCAGAAGAGGTAAGACGGTTAAAGGGGTTCGTGGTCCGGCCAAAGACGTTGTTAACAGTTTCCGCAATCATCATAGCCGTGGGCACATTTGTCTTGACATAGAGTACCGCCCCGGCTGCCTTTAGCAGATCTATCAATATGCTGTTATGCGTTGCCGGCTGCCCGACCCAGGCTGTGAACCCGAGTGTGGAGTCCTTGCCAGCGATGTTGAAGTTATCCTTGATAGATATAGGAAGGCCATGCAACGGCCCCAGGGGCTTGCCAGTGGCTGCAAGATGGGTATCAAGTGCCTGAGCAGTCTTGATGGCCTCAGGAAACAGAGTCTCTGATAGACAGTTTGTCTAGTATCGCCAGTTAGTTAACCTGGATGTTCCTGCAGTTGATTTGGCTAAGGGTGATGGTATAGTTATACAAGCTGGTGAGCAGCCGCAGCTCTTTTGCAGAACGCCCGAGCAACTGACTCCGCCGTCCATGACCCTGAAGCGGTCTTCTCGAGTATGACAGCTGCCGGAGAAGAAGTGATCTCGAGCTCAGCCTTGGTGAACCATCCAGAGGTTTCAGGCCAGGCTGAGACGTCCAGCTGCGAGTCCGGTGGCAGGATATCAGCATGTATCAGCCATTCTGGAGGAATCGAGGCGAGCAGGGCCTTTTGCTTTGCCGCGCTGATTGCCTGCCACTGCGTCTTGGTCATCGTGAGCCTGTTTCCGCTGGTGATATCTGGCTATTCTCTTCTTTTTGGGGTCGTCCTTGACATCGACCGAGCAAACCGCCAGCGAACCCGGCGCCTATAACTACACGAACACCTACCAAACCAAGCCGCCGCCGGCTCGTCGGTAATTCGCTGAGGGGGCGCCGGTAGACGAGCTACCTAGGTAAACTAATATTATAGGCGAATCTCGACGTTCACATTCTGAATTAACTAACTAGTTAACTCTAGTGCGAGAGGCTCACCGGCTATTCCTCATCCCCTGACCACTCTTATGCCCAGGGCTAGTTAATTATGCTGAATACGACATGTATCTTCCAGTAGGGTTCTGAGACACAGTAGAAGAAACTGTATGTGAACTTTCAGCATTGAGGCTAGAGTAGTTAGCTAGTTACAGAGTCAGAGGACTGTAACTAATTTAATCATTTCTTTTGAAGGCACTTCGTAAATCCCATACAATATTAAGAGACCAAATGGATCTCATGATACCTGTAAAGTTGAACCAGAGATTCAGAATTGGCGCATTCTCTTGTATAGCCTCACTGGCAGCACAGCCGGACCAAGAATAAATGAGCGGCCTGCTTCAAGATTAAAACCCAAACCAAGCACATCCACGCCCTGACCGTCCTCAACAGTCCTCTCTTTACACTTTTTTCAGTGGCTTTATTCTGGGAACGTTTTGTTGCTTGCCTGTGTGGGCTGTCGACCGTGTTGAAGGTTTTCTTGGATTCGAATATCTATCGGCTGTGTTAGAGAAAGTATCAGTCTCGTAGCTGTTTATCAAGCCGCTGAGCTTAAGGAAAGTCCCTTTCTTTGGCTGCAGACAGGATAATCCCTCTGGTCGATGTACGGAGTAGTTGTATCTTCGACAATAATAATATCTTTTGATGCTCCCTTCGTATTGGTAGGAACTATGATGACTAAGCTGATTAGTAACCCAAGACTGACTAAGCAAATTAAGATTAGACTTACTCAGCAGCCTCCTTAACGCTTTGGCCAATTCTTGCTGACTAAGTCGAGTGGATTATGGCATGTGTTAATCGCTGATCTCCTCCTCCGCGTATTATTGCACATTGTATGGAGTATTAATTACTTATATTAACAGGATCTTTTTGATTTACTGATATAAGAGGATTCTAGATAGTCACTGATATAACGGGCTATCTGGGCGCTAGCGACTCGGTGTCTTGTCCGTGCTATGGACGCCATTTCAGCCACACGAAGGCAACGACGAAGCACGACTAGAGAGCTACCCAAGGCTTTCCCCCCGGCAAACAGGCCGGAGCTAGCTCCGTACAACTCGATCCCTTGACGAGCAGGCAGACATCAGAGAATACCGGTGGAGTCATCGCTACAAATATACACCTGGCCGTCGATGCCCCCGAGTAACTATAAAACTCCATATTATTGACTCGACCGAGGCTATATAGAAATATAGGGGCGGAATGAGCCCGCGAGCATAAAAAGGCGCATTCAGGAGTGTGGCCCCTGAGCCATCGACGGAGTACAGAGTTACCTTGTTTCCCTGTGGGGATGGAACGGATTCCGCGGCCTGCAGGCCTGTGCAGGTTTGCCCCAGGATGAAAAGATTGCTGGCCCAATCACCGTGCTTGCGAAGATGCGGAAGACGGCAGCTCAGTGTGTGTGCGGGAGCTGATTCAGTAGTGTCGATGATGCGCCTGGGGGAGATGCCCTGCGGGCACCAATGGCCACTTCTGGGAGAAAAAGACATATATTCAGCAGGGCCGCATTCCTGTCCCCTGTGGTTGATCTGGAAGTGTCATAGATATATGTCGACCGGTGATGGTAGCTGATTGAGCCGTACCGGTTTGCTATCTATTGTATCCCACTCTGCAAAGAGCTAGCGGGATGGCTTCCCACACGATACTGATAGCCCTCGTGGCCATTGGCTACCTGGTCCTTAAATATTTCAACAAGACCGATGTTGCTAAGGTCAAGAATCTCCAGAGATACCCGGGGTGCCAATGTTTGGCAACCTCCTCCAGCTAGGAGACTCGCATGCTAAACGAGCGGCCGCCTGGGTGAAGGAGTATGGACCGGTCTTCCAGGTCCGGCTGGGCAATAGGGTGAGTGGCACCAGCTTATGACCGAACTATTAGAATCATGTAGTTGCTAATAATACATGGGATAGAGAGTTATCTTTGCCAACACCTTCGAGTCCGTCAAGTACCTATGGATAACACACCAGTCGTCCTTGATTTCACGCCCAAAGTTACACACATTCCATTCCGTCGTTTCCAGCTCCCAGGGATTCACCATTGGAACATCGCCGTGGGACGAATCCTGCAAGAGACGCCGCAAGGCTGCTGCTACAGCCCTGAACAGGCCGGCAGTACAGTCCTACATGCCTATCATTGACCTGGAATCAACTACTAGTATTAAGGAGCTGTTGGCAGACAGCAAAGATGGAACAGTTGATATCGATCCAAACCCATATTTCCAGCGTTTCGCCCTGAACACCAGTCTGACCCTGAACTACGGCATCCGTATCGATGGTAGCATTGACGATGAGCTATTGAAGGAGATTGTGACGGTGGAGCGCGCGGTTAGCAACTTCAGAAGCACCAGCAATAACTGGCAGGACTATATCCCGCTTCTCCGATTATGGCCTACCAGTAACAGCCAGTCAGTTGAGTTTCGGGAACGTCGAGATAAGTACATGAGCAAGCTGCTTGAGATGCTAAAGGAGCGTATTGCAAATGGCACCGATAAGCCATGCATCACGGGAAATATAATCAAGGACCCCGAAGCAAAGCTCAACGAAGGTGAGTCCCCCAAATGCTGCCTTTTAAGCGCTTCCATGACCAGTTACTCCATACTGACGCTTATTCTCAGCGGAGCGGAAGTCTATTTGTTTGACCATGGTGTCTGCTGGTCTTGACACTGTCCCTGGGAACCTGATCATGGGGATCGCATACCTTGCCTCTGAACATGGCCAGGAGATTCAGGATCGCGCTTACGAGGAGATCATGAAGATCTATCCCAACGGAGATGCCTGGGAGAAATGTCTGGTTGAGGAGAAGGTCCCGTACATCACAGCTCTGGTGAAGGAGGTCCTCCGCTTCTTTATTGTAATTCCCATCTGTCTCCCCCGTGTCAGTATCAAGGACATCACCTGGAAGGACTCTGTAATTCCCGCTGGAACCACCTTTTTCATGGTAAGACATCAGCATGCATTTTAAAAAAGTTACCCCGTACTCCTTATGGCTAACCAGTCAACCAGAATGCGTACGCTGCCAACTACGACTCTAATCACTTCAAGGAGCCCTTCGAATTCCGACCGGAGCGCTACCTCGACGTTGCTGACGGGACGGGCACGCCACATTATGCCTATGGTGCAGGAAGTCGTATGTGCGCAGGCTCGCATCTCGCGAACCGTGAGCTTTTCACTGCGTTTCTCCGTATAATCTCCGCTTTTACGATCGTTCCGGCAAAGGACAGGGCGGATGATCCCGTACTCGATCCCATCGACTGCACAGATAACAAGACCTCGCTGACTCTCGACCCTCGGCCGTTCAAAGTCGGTTTCAGGGTGCGTGATCGAGCAAAGTTGGATCAATGGATCAGAGAGTCGGACGAGAGAACCAAAGACTTGTAAATATGGACACGCTTATACAGCTGCCTGCAGGTGGATACAAGCCAGCTAGTTAGTTCATCAGCTAGTTATATGACGATAAATATATGCCCCTTTTAGCTAATTCTCCGTCTTGACTGTTTTATGCTTAAAGCAACAGATTTAACTACGCTGCCAAGTTATATCGGTATCGCGAGCAAACATCTCAGCCGTTGCCGGTCGCTTGCGATTCATCGTACTCTGCCTTCGTACTGGTGTTTTCTTCTCTTTTTCTCAGCCGGAGATGCGAGCCAATCCTGGCTGCGGCGCTCCGTACGAGCGCATGATATTACTCTGGACACCCAAGATATGCACTCCATCCGCTTGGCTTGCGCACGTCAGGAGCAGCTAACCTCCTCCACAGTTAGTTTCCTGCTCAAGGGTCCAAAAATATTCAAGGATTCAAGGGTTCAAAGGCACCTGGACCTTGCAAGCGCCGGTTTCCTTCCTGCTGGCGGGTTTTTGGTGCTGTTTCTGGAACATCAGAGGTACATCCCGAGAGACTCCTGGCAGGCTAGGATGCAACCCTTGACCCAGTCAACCAAGAGCAGGATTCACATTGCTCCAAGACAGTCATATAACGGTGGGTGACGGAATAACTATGTAACTAGTTATCTCACTGGGTGATTGGGATGCAGACCTGCCTTGCCTTGCTGCAACACGGCCGTGGCAAGGCTCTCTCAAAAGTAGTGCACCGTCCCTCGCCAGCAAACCTCCCTTCTGCAGCAAATCCCTGGATTCTCCTCTCCGCTTGCAGTAACCGCCTTGGCCGTTCATTCAACTTGATTGGCACAGTGATCGTTTCCCATGTCACAGAAGTAGTGCTATAGGTGCTGGGATCGATCAGTATCCTGGTCCCCGAGCCGAATGGCGGGCAAGATGTCGCCCGCGGTAGTCGTATGTACTCTCCCATACGGCGAACACCGCGTAATTTTATGCAGCTAGGTCCTCGATATTTTATATTCTGGGATCCACAGCCGATGGGAGAAGCTGGCTAGAGCGGTTCTTTTCTTTTATTTTAAACATGTTTATATCCTCCTGTTGGGTCTGCTGGCGTCCCGTCAGCTTCAGCCCATTTGAACAACCGTTCGAAAGGTCGATTCTGGCCTGACCCCGATACCCGATAATGAGCGAGAAAGCCACGGTCAGCGAGGCCGTCATGAAGACATCGACTGGTGACCCTGAGCCGTTAGACATTGCCCATGATACGGAGGCTGAGAAACGGCTTCTTCGCAAATGTGATCTCCATGTTGTGCCGGTTCTTACTTTCTTGTTTTTGCTTGCGTTTCTCGATCGAATCAACATTGGCAATGCTCGACTTCAGGGCCTGGAGAAGGATCTCAACATGAGTGGGCGGGACTACAGCATTGCGCTGTTGATATTCTTCATCCCATATATCCTATGCGAACTTCCCAGCAATTTGATCTTGAAGAAAGTGGCGCCATCAACCTGGATAAGCGGTATAATCGCAGCATGGGGTCAGTGATTCAACATGAAAACTATCACTTGAGGTGCTGCTTCACATCACTGACCGGCCGTATAGGGGTTGTTACTATCTGCCAGGGCGTCACTAAAAGCTTTGCAGGATTAGTTGTATGTCGATTTCTACTCGGGATGTTTGAGGCTGGGTTCTTCCCAGGTATTTATACCTCGTTATACATTAGGATTCGTGCTCAGTGTTAACCAAAAATTCCCAGGGTGTGTCTACCTCATCTCCATGTACTACAGGAGACATGAACTCCAAAAGCGAGTCAACTTTTTCTTCTCTGCCAGTATCATTGCCGGTGCCTTCAGCGGAGTGAGCTTACCCTCGACCCTTAATCTGCTATGTATATATTACATACTAACAGTTGATAGCTACTCGCATATGAAATTGCTCGCCTGGATGGAACAGCAGGTTACAGTGGATGGCGCTGGATATTCATCATTGAAGGACTCGCTACCGTCGTCTTTGCCGTTATCTCAAAGTTCTTCATTGTCGACTGGCCGGAGACGGCCAAATTCTTGAACGACCAAGAGCGAAAGATGCTCCTTGCGCGTTTGACTCTTGATAATAATGGTGCACAAATGAACCGCCTCGACCGACCAGCCTTGAAACGCTGCTTATTTGATATTAAGATATATCTCGGGTAAGTAATGTGCATTTATTCGTCGGGGCTACAAGCTTACAATTGAGTTAGGATGGTCATGTACTTTGGAGCTGTGACATCTGGATATGCTACTGCTTTCTTCACTCCTACCATCCTCCATCAATTCGGCTGGGCACCGCTCAAAGCTCAAGTAATGAGCATCCCAATCTTTGTTGTTTCAACCGTCATCACCCTAGCCCTGGCCTGGGTTTCCGACGCCATACGCCATCGCTTTGCTTTCACTATTTTGGGATGCGTCATAGCGACCGTCGGCTACGTCCTGCTTCTCTGCCAGCAACATGTTCCCGTAGGAGCTCGATACTTTGCCGTCTTTGCGATTACCATTGGCACTTTCATCACACAGCCCATCTGTGTGACTTGGCTCAGTAATTGCATGGCAGGACACTATAAACGCTCCTTTTCTACCTCCTTCCAAGTTGCGTTTGGTAACTTTGGAGGCATACTTGCGAGCAATATATTTTTAGACTCAGAAAAGCCCCTTTATCCGACCGGGTTTGGAACAACCCTGGCAGCATTCTGGCTATGTGGAATTGCCTGTATCATTCTTCTCTTCGTTCTCATTCGGGAGAACCGAATCCGCGATGCGGGAGGTCGAGATTATCGGTTTCAGTTACCGGAGGAAGAGGTCACTAATCTCGGAGATGATCATCCGTCATTCAGATTCTCGTATTAGAGCTTCTTTTCTTGGATAGTATAGCTAGCAGTATATGGAGCATAAAAAGACTTAATGATATTAAATGATAATGATAATTTCTGTATTATTCAATAATGCAAAGCATCACAACGAATCCCATAGATGAATACCGTGGTTTAAAGACCTGGAGTGCCTACACAGTCCACCTGAATCAACGAAAAACCTGAAAATACATCACGAACCCGAGTATCGACATTACTATATAACCATTGAAGGCGCTCCATCATTTGCGTTGCACAGCCTATTTCCATGTAGAAACCACAACTCCCAACTCCACCCCAGAGAAAACAGAAAGAACAGAAAAAATAATACTTTGTCATGCTCTTACTCTTCCTCGGCAGAGTTAGTTAGTGACAAGTAAGCAGTCCAGGCAATTCCGACAGACGACACGAATGGCTAAATCTGTGTTAGCAAGTGATAAGGAAAGTAACTTAGGACCTATAGCTGGATACCACATACAATCTGGAACTGGATAGGAATTAAACGGAAATTCATGATTTGCACGGCTGGCCAGAGCACGAAATTAGCCTTCAGGGTTGGAAGGTAGACGTCTTCGAATTTACGAGACAGAGCACGCCGGCCGCCACCCTCTGCCACGGTCATAAAGGTGAAGAAACACGCCAGACCTAATCATGTTAGTTATCTTCTCCTCCCACTCTGCAGTAAGGTGGGGTGTGAGGGTGCGAATGAGGATATATACCGATTGGAGCAAAGATGAGCTGGTCCATCGCAACACGCTTTAATGCTGGAATGGTTGCATGGGACTGGGTCACCGGGAATATGTGGGATAAGAAGCTGAACCACCGGTGCTGGATAGGCGCCATAAAGAAGCCATATGCCATAAAGCGAGTGAGTCTCTCAAAGTCAAACGGAGCAGGCCGCCTTCTGTAGAAATTCAGCTCTCCCACAGCTGGTGGTTTTTCCTTCTCCAAGTCTTGCAAATCAATTGATATGAAGCTGGTTGTGTCCCGATGCCTCGGTAGTTCCTTGCATCTGGCACTTATGGCGGATATCGACTGTGCAACCGTGTCCGCTATTCCACCCAAAACCTATAGAATTATTTCCCGTCAGCACGGCTCCAGTAACCCCCTCCGTATCTCTGAACTCTTTAGTGGGAGGCAAGGGTCGAGGTATCCTTACAGCATTCGTCACCATCGTTGTCAGAACTGTCGTGCAAATCATCGTTAGCCTCTTATCTCGGTCCCAGTCCTATATTAAGGGATAATGGTGATGCCCGGGACATACCGGGATTCTGAGCATAGTACGTGTTAAATTTAGCTATCAGCCCCATGGTCACGGCGATCTCGATGAGGAATATGATGGCATGTAGCAGAGGCTAGATATGAAGAAAACGGTTAGTTCTTGGGCAATGCTGGTATAATACAGCCTCTATCTCGGCTTCTAGAGTAGCGGGAAGCGCAAGAATGTTGATCCAACAAATGCTGGTAAGGTTTCAACTGACCACACGACCGTAGATATATCGACTGTCCAAGGCCCGGAGCAGACCCCATTTCGACTGGTTAATCATGGTTGCCTGGGACCGTCTCGACCGTCTTCTGTCGACAGGATCTCCCTTGCGTAGATGGACGTAGAAGTGGGCGGCTGTGGATAGAGGGAGACCGGGTTGGGCATGGAGATGTCCTCGCGGTCCTGTTGCTGTATGACGCAAGGCCCTTTTTTGCTCCGTTTGGCGCTCTTGACGCTCAAGAGATTTGAAGTTGCTGGAAAAAGGCTGCAAGTCGAGCAAAGCAGCCAATCAGAATGGTAGAAATTTGCTTAGTAAGTGCATGACTAAGATGTATACGAGCCTGCGCTTTCTTTCACAAGCAAAGCCGAAGAAGCCGCAGGAGAAGCAGCAGAAAGAATGGGCGATGATAGTCATAAGGGGGCGATCGGGCAGGGTGTAGAGCTCCGTAGGGAGTGGTTCTTATTATTGACCGGGTACTTAATATGCAACCCGCCATCTATTCTAGTTCATGCGCTGTAAATATTACCGGGCGATCCGCTGTTGGACGAGCCCCTTAAATGTCGGCCTTTGCGTACGCTACTATGTCAGGCAAATCTCGGATCTCCATGGTTTCGTTTGACGCCAGGTCAATCAGTCTCACAACCTCCAAGTGTAGAAGCCCTGGGGATAGCGGAAGGAGCCTGAGTCTTGTGGAATGGCATGTGCCGGGGTGGAGAGGCCTGGTGAACAAGAGTCAGCAATCGCAGTAACCAGGTTGTACCTTTCTAAGCAAATGACAGGGCGCTTACCCTATTTTTGAATCAGTGCTGAGGCAAAGAAGATCAGTCTCGTGAGGGGCCGCATTTTGTTGCATTGCATAGACGATGTTTTCATCAACAACAGCCTCAGCAATTTCATCTGCCCTCTTTATGGAGGAAGACGAAGACGGCCGGGGAACATGTGTTCGCACGTCCGAACGTCTTCGAAGCGGGACAGCAGAAAGGCCGAATTTCCTTGCCTTCGTCGACGTGTTTACAATGAAAACATCCCAGTCAAATGGCTTGCCAACCTCGACGCTAGGAGGACCGAAGAATGATATCTTCACTCCATGGTCTGTCGGAGCAAAAGAGGTGACCTGCGGCGTAGTTGGTTCTTGCGTTGACTGGTCGCTCCCCCGGGATATTATGCTTCGTCGCAACGTATTACTAACGCCTCCTAGGGACTGGTTTGTAGGCCTGGAGAAGTCGACGCTTGTCCTCCAGCGCATCGAGATCTTTGGACGACATTCGTCTGAGACTAGCACAGTGACTTTGAGCGAGATGTCAAGCATAGATGTCACTGGTGCGCCATCGGCAAAATCTGAGGATATAAGTTTATAGACCAACGAGATATCATCCCGTGCTGGACAGCTGATAGGGGGTGAGAAGCCAATTGCTTGGGCAAGGGGTTCCACGGTTCCATTAGTTAGGGATAAGTTAGCCTCCTCTAAGACAACTTCATAGCTGGTAAACGGAGTTGCCTCAAAGTCGAGGCTAGCGGTTGTTGACAACTTTTTCAAAACGGAGGTCGATCGGGAATATCTAATTCTAGCACTGGCAGCCGGGATAATGCGAATGGGGTGATACGACGTCTGCTGGATGTTATACATCGACCCCTCGGGCTGGGTAGAAGGGACAAGCCGTAATATCCGAGAGGCAGGAAGGTACGGATCTATATCCTCTCCAGCAGCGGTCAAGGGTTGAAATATATTTGTAGATGCTGGTGTAAGTCGAGGTAGATATTGGTCATTGCTGGCCGAGGTCTGTGAGCCCTGGGGACTAAAGCTTGCAGACGCCCTAAAAACAACAGATGGATGCCTTAGGCGCACGCGAGGGCGGTCTAAGATCATGTCAGCTTAGGAAAGGGTTAAACTGCATAGATGGGCCAGATACTGACAAAGAAATGCTTCTGATTTCCATATCACATATGCATGGTTTCCATCCCCTCCATCCTCGACAGCCTCATCAACAATGACGAACGGGTCATCTTTCCTATCCACGGTTTGGGAATATATTAAATCCTTCGAGCTCTGTTCCTCTTCTCCCAACTCACTCGAACCTCCTTCATCAATAGCAAAGACTTCGAAACGTACACTGAGGTTTGATATGCAAGCCTCTAGACTGTCCTTTGGGAAATCAGACAGGCAAAGCACTAGGTAGACTGTAATGTGTTCGTCTGTTCATTCGTCTGGTATCAGTAATGGGATAGCAACAACCCGAAAGCTAGGAGTCTAAATCCATACCGAAAAACAGCAGTTGACGTTGTTGAATTTTTGACAGATATGTGCCTGGATCCCCAGAACTCTCTTGGATAGACCCCAGTAGCTCTTCTATATTCAGGTCTGAAGCGTGCGGGATGACCGTATCCAGCGTCGCATCTTGTAGGAATTGGTATTCAGACATGTTAACATCAGGGTATCATGCAAGGCTCATCAAAACGAGATAATTACAATGAAAAGTACAGGCTAAGTCTCGCACTTCCAGCCGCAGTCACACCATAGAATCAGAATAATACCAAGCAAAAAGGACCTTGACCTCTTCTCTCTGCTTGGTTTTGCAGGCAGTTGATGTCTGAAAGTCGAACCAGATGGAATTCCCAAATAGGCAAACGTCGCAGGCCCAAAGGGGGCCTTCTTCACGTGACACGCGCTAAGATTTTCTTCGCGCGCCAAAAGTCTCAGAAGCTTCAAGCTTTTTGTCAAGATCAACAGACGCAGCCGACGATACCTTGAAGGAGCTCCTTTGTGGGAGGCGGATAGTGGCTGGCACACAGAGTTGCTTGCAGTGCGTTTTTGCAATATCGTTGTGTTGGGTGTCGCCCGCTTAAGCAGGAAACAAACCTGCTGTAACGTTTGCGAAGCACCTTCGACTCGTCACGATGAATGCCCCAGAGGGTCTACAGATACCACCAGCGCTCTGGCAGGAGGCACGGAATGCCGAGGGCAGAGTTTACTACTACAATGTTCAAACCAAAGCCACCCAATGGACGAAACCATTGGAATTAATGACTCCAGTGGAGGTGAGTATTCTTTTCCTTGTACCACTCTCTTTGAACACTACTGACAGTTCTCCAGCGCGCTTTGGCAAATCAGCCATGGAAAGAATATACGGCGGCGGGTGGGCGCAAGTACTGGTATAACACCGAAACCAAACAAAGCTCTTGGGAAATGCCAGAAGTTTACAAAAATGCTCAAGCTCAAGCTCAAGCTCAGCCTGCTTCTAAGCCAGCTCCTGCGTACGTTTTCCATAGTCTCTGGAATTGCATAGGCGAAATCTAATATGGCTATCTTTAGTGCTCCGACCTTTGTTGCTGGTGGTGTAGGCGCATTCCCTACCTACCAAACTCCAGCTCACGATCGTGACGAACATGACCGAAGCGCAAACGATCGACGACACGGATATGGAGGTGGCATTGACATCAACGGTGCTAACGCAATAGCTGCAGCAAATCAGCAGTCTGACTCCGGTTTTGCTTCTTTTGAGGAGGCAGAGGCTACTTTCATGAGACTCCTTCGACGCAGCAATGTTCAACCAGACTGGTCTTGGGAGCAAGTTATGCGTACCATCATCAAGGACCCTCAATACCGTTCACTTAAGGATCCCAGAGACCGAAAGGCCGCATTTGACAAATACGTTCTCGAAGTTCGCGCGCAAGAAAAGGACAAGGCGAAGGAGAGATTTGCTAAATTGAGAGCAGATTTCGGTACCATGCTGAAGAGCCACCCTGAAATCAAGCATTATACCCACTGGAAAACAATTCGACCTATTATCGAAGGTGAAACTATTTTTCGATCCACAGATGATGAAGGTGAACGCAGGCAGCTGTTCGAGGAGTATAAATCGGAGCTGAAAAAGGAGCACGCGGAGAAGCAAGCCAATGCGCGTAAATCTGCGAGGGATGACCTAGTTGATATTTTGAAAACCCTGAATCTGGAGCCTTACACTCGCTGGTCAGAAGCACAGGAGATAATTCAGTCTAATGAAAAAATCCAAGGGGACGAAAAGTTTAAGGCTTTGACCAAATCGGATATTCTAACCGCATTTGAGAATCATATCAAGTCTCTTGAACGGGTGTTCAACGACGTTAGACAACAGCAAAAGGCCAGTAAGACTAGAAGAGAACGTCAAGCAAGAGATGCTTTTATATCTTTGCTACAAGAGCTTAGGTCTCAAGGCAAGATCAAAGCGGGTAGCAAATGGATGAATATCTACCCATTAATTGAAGAAGATCCAAGATATACGGCAATGCTTGGACAGTCTGGGTCTAGCCCTCTAGATTTATTCTGGGACGTGGTTGAAGAGGAAGAACGTGCTATCCGGGGGCCAAGAAATGATGTCCTGGATGTTCTTGATGTAAGGCTCTATCCATTTGATCCTTTGTCTGAGTTGTTTAAAAGTGGCGTTAACATTTTGATTCTAGGATAAACGGTTTGAGACAACGTTGAAAACTACGTTTGATGAGTTTAAATCTGTGATGAGAACAGATCGTCGTACTGCTACAATTGACCAAGACACTCTCCAGCTCATATTTGATCGTTTACAAGAGAAGCTCCTTCGACGTACAGAAGATGAGAAGCATGCAGCTAATCGGCAACAGCGGCGCGCGATCGACCTTCTACGATCACGCATCAAGCACCTTGAACCCCCGGTCCAGGCAAATGATACCTGGGAAGATGTAAAACCCAGAATCGAAAAGATGGAGGAATACCGAGCAGTAGAATCGGAGGACGCACGCCGCTCGGCATTCGAAAAAGTTGTGCGCCGTTTGAAGGAAAAGGAGGAGGATGCTGAACGTGATCGCGAAGCTCGCGGACGGGACCGCCCATCACGCCGCGACCACTACGACCGCGTAGACCGAGATGACCGCAATGGACAGAGGTGGTCAGGCTCTGGACGTCGTAGCCGTACCCCTGAACCAGATGCGTACGAAGCGGATCGCCGCAAAGCCCAAGCAGACCGGGAAAGATCATATCGCAAAGCCAGCGGATTTTCATCACCGCCTAGGCATCATGACCGTGACCGTAGAGACCGGGACCGCGATCGTGAAAGGGATCGGGACAGAGGTCGTGATCGTGATAGAAGTATCTCTCGGCATCGTCGAGATCGCCGTATCCGAGAAGATGAACGAGATAGATTATACCATAGTCGCGCTGACCCTCGAACCAGCCGCGACGAACTGGATTATGGAGGCGGTGATACTGATACCGCTGCACGCAGTGTGACTAGTGAGCGCCGCAGACGCCGTGATAGTGATACGGAGAGCGTTGGCAGCCGGTCCGCAAAACGGTACAGGCGTGAACTCGATCGTCTAAGTGGTACGAATGGTGGGAGACGGGGCAAAGAGAAGGAAGAGAAGGCAGCACCTGCGGTGGAAGAGAAGGCAGTTCATTCTGGCAGTGAGGAAGGGGAGATTGAGGAAGACTAGGAGATGTATACTGGATCTATTTCTGTACTTTCATCAAACCAACATCTTAGCCTATATTGCCATAGTTTAGAACCTTAGACTTGATAACTACATAGGCCAATACCTCTGAGCGTTGGATAATCCATCCATTCAACTAAATTCTTTGTTTCAAACGAGTGGAGTGGAGGAAGATGTTGAATCAAATCACCAAAGTTGAGGTACAGGTTTATCATCCCGTGAAAACGGTACAGGCACAAAGGAATGGAAAGGCAAGTTTTATTTATTTAAAAAACTGCAATTTGTTTATTTTAACCTTCTCAAATCCTTGAACTCATAGGCGCTACTGAGTGTGCGCCGCGGCATCACATAGTAGGTCTTGATCTACATTGTGAGCCTCATAACCATCACCGGGCGCCTCTTTTCCACATTGCATGAGAATCGTGGAAGGGCGTGGCATAGAAATCATGAACAGGTACTTCTGTCACGAGTATTCAAACATTTATGCAGATGACCCGGCGCATGGAAAATTCTTTGTGTCATCGTCGTCATCGTCATCACCATATGACGTTTCCTCTCCGAAGAAGCGGATGGTACGCCATCCTTGGCCGGCATTTAGGTTGGAGATACTGACACGGTTCAAGCGGCGGTCCCTTACAACCCTCCAGTAGCTCTCCTGCCAGTGTGGCCATCGACGATTACGACCATCATGGCGATTATCCCGTGGGACAGCCTTTTCAACTCTCTTCTTCCAGGAAGAACTAGAATAACGTTAGACACAAAATAGAGTGTGGCCAGGGGCAGTTAAAACTTACGAAGTTTCCACTCAACTTCTGCTCCTGATCAAGTTGGGAATTATGCTTGTTGATACGTGGTCTGTAGGTGCTTGGGTCACGTCTGAAAGTAACATCCAGGTTTTGAAGGAAGCGGTTGCACCCTGTAAGAAGAGATTCGGGCTTGTTTGCTTTTGACTTGACGGAAGGAGCTCCTTCGAACAATATGACACGGTCCGCGAGATAGGTGGCCATAATGAAATCGTGCTCAACGACGAATGCGGTCTTCTTGGTGTGCATAATGAATCTCTTGATAACACGAGCAGCAACGATACGCTGCTCGGAATCAAGGTACGCACTTGGCTCGTCAATCAAGTAGATATCAGCTGGCATACCCAGGGCCAAGACGATAGCAACACGCTGCAATTCACCACCAGATAAGTTTTGGACTTCTTGGTCAATGAAGTCATCCAGCTTGAGTGGCTTGTACACATCAGTCTGGAACTGTGGCGACAAGAAGGCAGCCTTGATCTTCTTGAAAAAGAGTTGTCGAACAGTGCCTTGGAACTTGGGTGTGATAGTTTGTGGTTTCATGCTGATGTTCATTGGAGGGACGTTCTGGCCACCATCTGGCTTAATTGCGCCAGCCAACATCTTACAGAAAGTAGTCTTGCCAGTTCCATTTTCTCCCATCATGACAATGATTTCGGAGTCAGTGAACTGGCCGCTATCAATGGTAAGGTGGAAGTTTCCAAGTGTCTTCTCCATCTTTGGATAGCTAAAGGCTCTATCCTTGTCAATCATAATATCATCGCCAGCTTCAGCAATTCGGAAAGTCAAAGATTCTTCTCGGAAACGAAGATTCTCCGTTGGGATGTGACCGTCAAGGAAGACGTTGATACCTTCACGGACTGAGGCTGGGAGTGTAACCACACCATAAACAGCAGGACGACCGTATAGAACACAGATAAAGTCAGAGAGGTAGTCTAGAACGGACAAATCGTGCTCGACGACAATAACGTAGTCGTCTGGTCGAAGAAGTTCACGAATCATACGTGCAGCAGCAAGACGCTGCTTGACATCCAGGTAGGAAGAAGGCTCATCGAACATGTACCTAATCTAGTATTAGATAATCTTCTTCGACTCAGGGCATGAGAGTTAACTTACACGTCCGCTTGCTGAACGCAGACAAGGCCAATGGCAAAACGCTGGAGTTCTCCACCAGAGAGCAGGCCGATCTCACGGTTTTTGACTTGCTGGAGTTCTAAAACGGAGAGTTAGAAGAGCGTTATCTTGGGCATGAAAGGTTACATACCTAGGACATCCATGACGTGCTCCATATTGTCCATCTGAGCGCGTGCCTCCAGGAGAGCGCCGACCTCCTTTACCGGACCCTTGACAGCTCGAGGGATCTGGTCGACATACTGGGGCTTGACGACAGCTTTGAGATCGTCTTCCAGAACCTTTGTGAAGTAGTCTTGAGGCCTTTGTTAGTATATGTTTTAACCCACCCACGTCCATAGAGAAGACCTACTTTGAAGCTCAGATCCACGGAAGTACTTTAAGATTTCTTCCCAGTCCGGTGGGTTATCATATCGACCCAAGTTGGGCTTGAGTTTTCCACTGAGAATCTTGAGAGCAGTACTCTTTCCAATACCGTTTGTTCCAACCAATCCAAGAACCTGACCCAAACGGGGCATGGGAAGTCGATGAAGCTTGAAGCTGTTGGCTGAGTAACGGTGGGTGACCTGAGACTCCAGGTTGGTGGGCAGATTGATGATATGGATTGCACCAAATGGACATTTCTTTGGGCAGATACCACAACCAATGCACAGCCGTTCCGAGATAAACGCGATTTTCGAGTCTGGTGCGACTTCAATGCAGAGCTTGCCGGTACGCACCACTGGGCAAGACTTTTTGCATTCCTGACGACATTTCTGCATACTGCTAGTCAGTTGACCGTTCAATTGAGGCTGGTATTCAAGCTCACTAACCTTTGGCTTGCACTGTTATATGCGTAAAAGATTTCGGCGTTAGAGTCCTGTAGATAAATATAGCGGGGTTATAGTATAGATACCTTATCGCTGTTAACGATAGCAATCCTATAGTAAAAAGGAGGGATCAGTCTGATTTCTAGTAGCATAAAGGCAGTGATAACATACCTAGTTAGTTTATCAGACATGGTGGATGGCTGCGAATGCTGTCACCTATAGGTGTCCTGTAACTAGATAGATTTATTTGTGGAGGGGCAGTATTGAAGAGAAAAGAAAAAGTTCCGGCAGCCTGGTAGCCAAAACGACCCAACTGACAGCTCCTCGACCTGCTGTCTATCAGGAGGAAGGGAGCTCTTTTCAACGAGAAACAAGAACGCGGCGGTCGTTGGGACGCTGCAGGTTTCTTGGTGCGTGGACGGCAGAGTTGAAGTCCTGGACTCGAACGTCGTCGTCTTGTTTTTGTGTCCTTTTTTTTTTTTGTCTTTTTTTAACCTTTTTTTTTTTCTTTTGCTTACTTATCCTCGGCCTGTGGTTCGTGCGTCATGATGAGTCAGCAACAACACAGATAGTTACCTAATCAATGACTAAGCTAGCGACTGACTCAGCTTTTACTCAGCCAGTCTAGCCGCAAGAGGCAAAGACAACGGCCGTCCGACCTTTCCACCTCTTCTTCCTTTTTTTTCCTTTGCTTCTGCGTCGTCCTTCTGCCGCCAGACAAAAAACCACCGAAGAAACCACATTTATAGAGACAACGAACAGCGCCCTTTTGCCGGCCACCTCTGCCTCGTCGACACGCTGAACCGCCCAGCCGGTCCCTGGTCGCGCCTGGGGGCTACCACGTTATGGATCGTAAGTGGTTTTCTGTGTCGTCTTCCACAGAGAGAGAGATACCGCCCCCGGCCCTCTGTTCTCATAGTTGACACCCCCAGCACCACACTCCAACCCCCCCTATTCCTGGCTTATTGTATGGGAGCCGAGCTTGTAGAGCTCTCTGCTGTCGGCTTTGCTGTCTGTATAACTGTTTTTGCCTCTCTTTCTGCCTGGCCTGGCATCCATATTCACGCGCTGGCCGTCCTGAACACCCGTTCATCCATCCCCATTTCCATCAAATTTCATCTATAAATACATCAGACCCCATCTATCCCCGCGTTCCTATGCCTCCCTGAGGAGCTATAGCTACCTATAATACAATAATTACTGGCCACATGCTCCTCGCCTGTCTTTCTGTGCGCTTTGTTCCCGCGTTTGACTGCAATTGCCTGCTCAATGCTAATTGCGACCAAAACGTAGCCTCGACCGTGGTGATCCCGAACACCCTCCCCCTCGATATACGTAACGGGCATAGTCCTCTACGCTCACCACCTAGCTATGGGCTTCACGATAATGTTCCCATGCCAGATGCGCCTAGTGATGGCGAGATGTTCCCTTCAAACCCGGAGAATATGGACGACTCCGATGCCTCCCATGAATCTATGAATGCCGAAGAAGACGCAGCTTCGGCAAACGATGATGACGACGATGAAAGTGTCAACGGTGTTGATGCCGGGATGAGCTCACACCATTCTTCTGATGATGAAAGCATTGGGGGCTCGGAAGACGCGGCTGGTGAGGACGTTGCTGAATTCACAATGGAGAACGGCGTAGATGCCCCTCCGTCGGAGATGTTTTCGTCCTCACCGGGCTCTAAAAGGGGAGTAAAACGCAAATCCTCTGTTGACGAAGAGGAATATATCAGAAACAACCCTACTCTCTACGGCCTACGACGGAGTGGACGCGCTCGTCCAACTCGGCGGCTGGATCAAGAGTCCTCAGCCTCCGAGTCCGATGTTGCCCCACCGCCAAAACGACGTCGTCCCGGCCGTACCTCTGACCGTCCTTCCCCAGTCCAGATGCCTGAGTCGTCGTCAGACTCTGATAGTGACGCGTATGAAGGTCCGCGTCGCAGTCGACAGGGGAAAAAGCAACGCCGGAACAACCAAAGTGATCTGAAAAACTCCTACATACCAACACATGGTGAAGTTCGCTTTTCAACACGGCGGGCAAACAAGGTCTGTAATTACAACGAAGAGAGTGACGATAACATGTTTGAAGATGAGGACGAAGAAGGTACTCCTGGGGAATGGACATATACCGTCGATGACACCACCCCGGCCATCGACAAGATCCTCTATCATCGCTTCAAAGAAGGTGTAGACCTTGAAAAACCTGATCTAGGCCGCCGTGACTGTGAATACTACACCAAGTGGCAGGGTTTAGCACATTACCATGCAACCTGGGAAACAGTCGATACCCTTGCTAACTGCCGTGGCATCAGGCGTCTAGACAACTATATCCGGAGGGAGATTGAACAGGAGATTCTCTTCATGAGAGATCCCGATGTGATCCCGGAGGAACGAGAAAAATGGAGTCTTGACCGCGAACGATACATTGAGAAAATTGACCACTTCAAGCAGGTCGAACGTGTAATCGGTTCCCGTGAAGTCGATGGCGCAACCGAATACTACATCAAATGGAAACGTTTACCTTATGATGGCTGTACATGGGAAGAAGGAAGCCTCATAAGCAACATGGCTCAAGCCCAGATTGATGCCTACCTCGACCGCTGCTCCCACCCTCCGATCTCCTCCAGAGCAGAGTCTAATCCTGCAACCCGCTCCAAGTTCGAACCTATACATACCAACCCAGACTTTATACAGAACGGTCAACTCAAGGAGTTCCAAATTAAGGGAGTCAACTTCCTTGCTTACAACTGGGTCCGCGGCCGCAACGTTGTCCTTGCCGACGAAATGGGTCTAGGTAAAACTGTCCAGACGGTAGCATTCATCAACTGGCTACGGCACGTCAGACAGCAACAGGGTCCATTCATCGTCATCGTCCCATTAAGTACCATGCCCGCTTGGAGTGAGACATTTGACTATTGGACACCTGACGTCAACTACATCGTCTACAGCGGTCCGGAGCCTGCTCGAAGGATCATCAAAGACTACGAGCTTTTGGCTGATGGCAATTTGAAACGTCCTAAATTCAATGTTCTCCTCACCACTTATGAATATGTTCTGCAAGACGCAAGCTTTTTAAACCAAATCAAATGGCAATTTATGGCAATTGATGAAGCGCATAGATTGAAGAATCGTGACTCACAGCTATATACCAAACTACTTGATTTCAAGTCGTCCTGTAGGCTCCTTATAACGGGAACTCCAGTTCAAAACAACCTGGGGGAACTCTCTGCCTTGATGGACTTTCTCAATCCGGGCGTCATCGAAATTGACGAGAATATGGACCTAAACTCAGAAGCTGCTAGTGCAAAGCTGGCTGACCTAACCCAAGCTATTCAACCCTATATGCTTCGTCGAACCAAGTCCAAGGTCGAGAGTGAGCTTCCGCCAAAGTCTGAAAAGATCATTCGCGTTGAGTTATCCGATGTCCAACTCGAACTGTATAAAAACATTCTGACCAAGAACTACGACGCTCTCAACCACGGCGGCAAGGGACCTAAACCGTCCCTACTCAACATCATGATGGAATTGAAGAAAGCTAGTAATCATCCATTCATGTTCTGGGGCCCTGAAGAGCAAGCTGGAGGGAGCACACGGCGGGAAGACCAACTGAAGGCCCTCGTTACTAGTAGCGGGAAGATGATGGTTCTCGATCAGCTCCTGACTAAGTTAAAGAACGATGGCCATCGTGTGCTGATTTTCAGTCAGATGGTTCGAATGCTGAACATTTTGGCTAACTATATGGATGCTCGCGGTTTCAACTATCAACGTCTGGATGGTACCATTGCCGCCGGCCCTCGTCGCCTCGCCATCGAACACTACAATGCCCCGGGCAGCACTGACTTTACCTTTTTACTCTCCACCCGTGCTGGTGGTCTTGGTATCAACCTGATGACAGCTGATACGGTTATATTATTTGATTCGGACTGGAACCCACAAGCTGATCTGCAGGCTATGGCTCGAGCTCACCGTATAGGGCAAACCAAGCCTGTCAGCGTATACCGTCTGGTCTCCAAGGATACCGTGGAAGAGGAGGTTTTGGAAAGAGCTAGAAACAAGCTGTTGCTGGAGTTCATAACTATCCAAAGAGGTGTTACTGACAATGAAGCCACTAGCCTAAAAAACAAGCTTGCTCAAGCTGGTCATCATGTTAATGAACCTACTTCCTTCGATGATATCTCGCGGATTCTCAAACAGCGTGGACAACGAATGTTCGAGCAATCTGATAACCAGAAGAAACTCGAAGAACTTGACATTGATGCTGTTCTTGCCAACGCTGAAGAACACAAGACTGTCGAAGAAGATGCTATTGAGGTTAGCGGAGGAATCGACTTTATCAATGAATGCCAATATGTTGATGTCAAGTTCGACGATCTTTCATGGGACGATATCATTCCAAAGGAATACCTGGAGAAGATCAAAGCTGAAGAGGAATTAGAAGCCCAAAGAAGGCCGCCCCCGAAGGAAGAGCCTACTGAAAACACAAATTCTAATGCCATGATCAGCGATGAACGCGAGGAGCGGAAAGCCAAGAGGCGAGCTCGCCAACAAGTGAATTTGGATGTTGAAATCATGTCCGATGCCGAAGGCCCAGATCCCAGTGCACCTCTAAGTGAGAAGGAATACCGACATCTCATCCGTGCATACCTGAGATACGGTGATATGAAAGATCGCCAGGAAGAAATCATAAAAGAAGCACGCCTCGTGAACCGCGATCTTACCGTTGTGAAAGATGCACTTAATGAGGTCATTGAGAAGGCTACTGCCCTTGAGCAGGAGGAAAACAACAGAATTCGTGCCCTTGAACGCGAGGGTAAGAGCTTTACTAAAAAGGAACGCAAGGCAATCCTTTTTGATCACAAGGGTGTCAAACGCATCAATGCAGAAACTATCGTCAGTAGGCCTGGGGAAATGCGTCTTCTACGTGAGGCTACCTCCAGTTTACAGGACATAACGAGTTTCCGCATACCAGAAGCTACCAAAGGTGCTGATTACTCCTGCTCATGGGGTGCTCGAGAAGACGGAATGCTGTGCCTGGGCATTGCTCGCCACGGCTACGGAGCATGGACACAGATCCGCGATGATCCCGAGCTAGGCCTAAGCGACAAATTTTTCCTCGATGAGCACCGTGTCGACCGCAAGCAAGAGCGACTGAGCGGCAAGGGTGAAGGATCGAAATCTCCCGGGGCTGTACATCTGGTTCGAAGAGCAGATTACCTCATATCGGTTCTTAAGGCGAAAGCCAGCAATGGTTCCAACGCCGCGGCAAGGAAGGCTTTGGAAAACCACCACCGGAATAATAAGAAAGTCCATTCTCGGAATGCTCATCGAACCGTTTCTGCCTCTCCTGCTCCCTCCCTCCCACGAAAAGGTAGAGAAAGCGAAAAGTCGAGGCGCCGTATGCAAAACCGTGCCAGTCGGGATAGTGCGGATGGGTCTCACACTCCATTACGAGATCATCGAGATCGAGACCGGGAAAGAGACCGGGAGAGAGACCGTGGGAAACCAGTCGATTCAGATAAAGCGCGCAGACATTCCAAGGAAGAAGCACATCGTCGTCGTAGTGATGATCGTACTCCAACGGGCGGTGACACTACGCTTCGGAGTATCTTCAAGCCCATCCGCGAGCATCTAAGACGAGTGTCACAGGTCACTAAGGAGAATATTCCAAGCAAGTCAAAGCGAGTTGCTGAACTTCGTCGATTACTGCAAGTGGTTGGAGACTTCATTCACGGTATTCTCGACGGTCAAGAAACTGCAGCTTCACTTGAAGAAAGATTATGGTTCGTTTTAATATGTTCCTATCACTTTCATAGTTCTGTTATACTAACTTTTACGCAGGGATTACTGTGCTATTACTTACTGGCCGAACAAAGGAACACCAGGGAGCGCACTTCTCACTATGTACGAAAAGATAGCAAAGGATGGGGGACGCGTCGAAGCTTCAAATTAATTCCCCTGCCTTCTCTTTCCGATCTTTCACCGAACATCTACCTGCCACCCAACCTACACAAAATATTGACCACATTGCTACCGGATATCACTTCATCATCTCACTACTATATTACATTTCCCGCTATATCTATGTTTACTTTTTTTTTTTTTATTTCCATTTATTCGCCTTTTATTTGGTTCTCTGGCTTGGAGCAGCCGGAGTTTGCTTGCATTTGTGAACGGCGTTTATTCCGTTTCTTCCTGGTGTGGTATAAGCTCCGTGGAAGAAATAGGGTTGATTCAATATAATTCCCCCGGCTTCTCCTGCTTCGTCTTCCTCTATTTGCTTTTCCTCGTTTCCATTTATGTTATGTTCACCCATATCCTTGCCTGGATTATATGTATTTTTAGATGAGCCACGTTTCCCATTGCTTTCTACACCGTTTGTTTCTTGTCCTCAAAAGCCGTAATCGCCTTTTTTTTCCTTTTCTTTTCTTTTTTTGTTCCTCTGGGGCTGGGGTGTTTGATCTAGGAGCGTTGAAGCTTATGAGCGATGAGGCCGGGAGGTATACATAGTCACCAGTAGAGTTTCTTTGACAAAGACACTCGAAAGAAATCAATACAAGCTAGTCTTTCCCTCGCATTCATTCCGGTTTGCAAGATGGCTTTTACTTAAGCTAGCATAGCACTGCGTTGAAGTGAAATTTGTTCAAAGCATTATTTATAGTCGTAGAGATAGTGAGCGCTCTGGATAAGCAAGACAGTATTGATAGTGAATAGGTAGAAACAAGCGAGCAATAAAGGTATCATAACATAAAACGCCAACCAATCGTACATTCCTTCTGTATCAATTACACTTGACTGTCATCAGTGTGAGACTTCATTTTAGATGTCTGGGCTTGTGGCCGTGTCTGATCTTCAGGCTGTTCATCTCCTCCATCAGCTTCTTCCGTACCACCCTTATCTTGAGACGGTGGTTTTTTCGTCCGATCTGTAGTCACTCTTTGCATACCACCATAGCTAGGCGCGTTTTGCTCCTGGGTAGGTGGGGTGCCGTAGACACGGATCTCACTATGAATAAGATCGTCTAGAATAAGCTCCTTTTCCTTCCAAGTTTTTTTCCTCATTGGCTTTATCAGTTCCCAATTTTTTTCCAGGGTCTTGGATTCCTGTTCTGCCCAATGGATCTGTCGGCGTAGCAGGCGGGCAAGCTGCTCTAGCGGCATTGCAAGTTCGTGTTCATCGAAACCGACTTCTGGGTCGAAAATTGGTATATCACCCTGATCCTTCGTTTTGCCTTGGTCGCCCTTTTGCTCCGATCCATCCAGCTTTTCAGCATTATCGTTTTCTTTTCTGGGTGCCAATTTTAGTTTAATTCGAGGAGGTTTGGAAATGCTAGGTGCTGTCGGATTGGCATGCTGCTTTGCCAGAGCATCGAGAGATTTCAGGGCATCGGTATCATGAACTGTTCTCATATGCTTCGATAGAGCATCCGAACGTGTAAAGCTTCGATCACACTCTAGTTGGCACCGTCATAATTAGCAAGATAACAGATATAATGAGCTGGATGGCTTTGACGCGACTACTTACCTGGTAGTGCGCAATAAAATGGCTTTTCTTTGGTATGGCTTCTCATATGGGCCCGCAAGGCATATCCGCTTGCATGAGCCTGGCCCTTTCGAGCACAGTCACCCCATTCACATAGGTACTTCTTTTGTCGTGATCCGATGTGCTCGTCATGTATATGCTTAACAAGCGCATCCATGTCTACAAAGTCCTTTGCGCCACAGCCCTCCCAAAGACAGGCTGTAATGTGGTCTCTCCCAGCACCGCTGTAGTCCTCTTCGGGGCCAAGGATGGCCATTGCACCGGGGGAATTTGGTATGGCGCCAGAGCTATCTGACGATATAGAAGCAACGGGAGATGGCGGCGGTATGTCGTCATTGACTGAGGATATCGGAGTATGGTGGTCCCATGTAGATGCCCCCATCTTGCGGCGCTTCGATGGGTGTACCTGAGGAGGCGAGTTGGAACGAGAGCGTCCCTGGTCTTCGAACTTGACGTCTTCAGGGAACTCCTCTGACGCGAGGGATGAGAGAGGTGAAGCCGGCGATTCAGCCATCGTGGGAGCGGATAATAAAAGAGGCGGAATATTAGCTCTTGTATAGCATCAAAACTACCGTCCAAAATGAGGCCGCCAACTTGTTTTCTTCACTGTTCTTTTTGTCGATTCTTCAGCTTGTTCATTCAGCCTTTGACGGCGACGTCGAACTTTCCGAGTTTCGCGATATCGAGGGTAACTTTTAAGTTTAATCACGTGATGCGATTAACTAATCAGCCGGCCAGCTTTTTTTTTTTTTTCGCTGGAAAGAAAACAACACTCTGCAGCGTAAGGATAAGTATACGATGAAGCTGTTTTCAATAAGACTGAAACGATATATATATATATATATGGACTCTGCAGGTGAGTGGTGAGTGTTTACTGGCTCTTCCCTTTGCTCCAATGATGAATAACAAGAGAGTTCTGCAATACCGACAATTTCCAGGGTAATACCTGTGGAATTGAATGTTGACATCTCACATACACTTGATCTGAGGCTTCCACATACGCAGCATTGTTTCTTTCGTTTTGAATTTGAGAGCGGCATAAGCTAACTGTTTCTCAAGACTAGTATAGGATGTTCCATGAGATATCATTATAATGGCATTCAGGGTCACTCTTTGCGGTTTCCTCCCCTTGTACCAGACAACCGTCCAATCTGTCCAATAGACACAAACATCATCGCTGTTCGATACACACGCGTATATACACCGGAATGCTGAGATAGATAAGGATGTAGCAGAGCTGCTGCTACTGTCACAGTCTCCATTCCACTTGGCTGTTTGCATGGCCGGGCCGAGCACCGTCCCAGTACCTTGACCTAAAGCCACTTAATCACACTAACCATGCCCTGGACCTTTAAATGAATGCAGATACTAGTCAATCGCCATGCACACCAGATGACAATGCGAGGGCCGACGATATACAGATCACAAGCCATTATTCTTGTCGGCAAGTGAAGGAACTGGCTGGCCTCCTGCTCGCCACTTAGCAACTCCAGCTTTAGATAGTCTGATACAAACTACCACAGCCTATAGAACATGTCTGCCTAATAGCAACAACTCTCCTCTTGCCTTCATAGCCGCTGCCATCTCAATCAACATCCCTTGTTTTGCTGTTGAATATGTAGAATGTCCCCTGGTCGTGGGATTACATCACCTCCCGCATCTCTCCGATTCTCGCCCCGCCATAAACAAATAGCGAGCGGCTTTTTCTCCCTCTATATGAATATCACCCCACCAAGCGCCCGCCTCCCCCTTGTTCTTCAATTCAACTTCAACAACGTCTTCCTCTCGACTAGTTTGCCATCGTTTATTACTGAATTCCGTCAATTGTGCCAGGATGTCGCTCTCAAACAAGCTAGCCATCACCGATGTCGACCTCAAGGGCAAGAGGGCCTTGATCAGGGTATGGCCAACTACAGCACCCCGCCAAATACAGCCATTGAAGTATTACGGATATAAGAGCTAACTTGTGTCTTCTAGGTCGATTTCAATGTCCCCCTCGATTCTGATTTCAAGGTCACCAACCCCCAGAGAATCGTCGGAGCCCTTCCAACCATCAAGTATGCTGTTGAGAACGGTGCTAAAGCAGTGATCCTCATGTCCCACCTTGGACGACCAGATGGCAAACCCAACCCGAAGTTCAGCCTCAAGCCTGTCGTGCCAGAGCTTGAGAAGCTCCTCGGAAGGAATGTTACCTTCCTTAATGACTGCGTCGGCAAGGAGGTCGAAGAGGCCGTGGCCGGTGCCAGTAATGGCCAGGTGTTCCTCCTAGAGAACCTCCGTTTCCACGCCGAGGAGGAGGGAAGCTCTAAGGATGAGTCCGGCAAGAAGGTCAAGGCTGACCCAAGTGCCGTTGAGGCTTTCAGGAAGGGCCTTACTGCCTTGGGTGATGTCTACATCAGTATGTCAATTGCACATAAACTATGTCCTGATTGAAAAAGATAACAGCCCATTCTAATCACCATTCAACTCTTAGACGATGCATTCGGCACTGCTCACAGAGCCCACAGCTCCATGGTTGGCGTTGATCTTCCACAGAAAGTCTCTGGATTCTTGGTCAAGAAGGAGTTGGACTACTTTGCAAAGGCCCTTGAGAACCCCCAGCGACCCTTCCTTGCCATCCTCGGAGGAGCCAAGGTCTCGGACAAGATCCAGTTGATCGACAACCTTCTCACTAAGGTCAACAGTCTCATTATCTGCGGCGGCATGGCCTTCACCTTCAAGAAGGTGCTCAACGACCTGAAGATCGGAAAGAGTTTGTTCGATGACGAAGGCAGCAAATTGGTTCAAGGTATCATGGACAAGGCCAAGGAAAAGAACGTCAAGGTCGTCCTGCCAGTTGACTATGTCACTGGTGACAATTTCGCTGCTGATGCCAAAGTTGGCTATGCTACTGACGCCGATGGCATCCCCGATGGCTGGATGGGTCTTGACTGCGGCAAGGAGAGTGTCAAGCTGTTCCAGGAAGCCATTGCTGAGGCTAAGACAATCCTCTGGAATGGTCCACCAGGTGTCTTCGAGTTTGACTCCTTTGCTCAAGCCACCAAGGACACTCTCACCTCTGCAGTGGATGCTGCTCAGAAGGGAACTATCGTCATTATTGGAGGTGGTGACACCGCAACCGTTGCCGCCAAGTTCAAGGCCGAAGAGAAATTGAGCCACGTCTCGACCGGTGGTGGTGCCTCTCTTGAGCTCCTTGAGGGCAAGGATCTGCCCGGTGTCTCTGCACTTTCGAGCAAGTGACTCTCTTCCCACGTATGACATGAGTTTTTGCAACCCCCCAACTTCCTTTCCCTGGTTCAGTTCGCCACCGGGTCATGTTGATATCACTGGAGATACTAATGTAACAAAAATTTCCTCAAGTAAATATATATAACCAAACGAAGAAAAAGCTGTTTAACATCATCTTTCAGTATGAACGTTGGCTCCGGTCGAAGACTGTATATCAGTAAGACTAACGATAGTAGTAATATGGTTCGAAGGAGGAAGTGACCAAGATGCAGTAGTGTCAATCCACTTGATTGTCACTATAAAATTTTACTTACACCCCCCAAGTCCCTAAACTCCGCTAAAGAAAACCCAGGAGGCTGATGAGGAAACAAGAAGAAAGCTGGTAGCAGCACAGATGAGAGTCCATTCTTTCACGACAGCCAAGTCATCGCTTGGCAGCTTCCACCTTTTTAATCTCCTCCCTGTAGAACCTGCCTGTCAGCATCCGTGCAAATGAAGCAGTATATATATCTAGTTTGCTGCAATCGAGAGGGAACAGAGGGTATATCGGGACTCAACAGAGTACGCACGCTAGTTGTTTAGAGAAGTCCTCACTCGCATCATCGTCATCCCAGCTTTCTTCCCATAGATGGTCGTTGCCAGACCCTCCGCTCGGAGCTTCTGCCTCTTCTTGGGGCCAATCTATAATCGTAACAGCAACGTATAAGCAGACTGGTCGTCAACACACAAAAAGGAGCAGGCCCATGGCCACTCAAATAGTAATAACACAAGCGCATACCTTCTACCGGGAAGTCTTCAAACTCGTCATCTTCTTCCAGAGGTGCAGAAAGGTTCTGGGCTTTTTCTGACTGTGCTGTCTCCGCCGACTGAGGTTTGGCAGCGCCCTGTGAGGCGGGCTGACTCGACATGGTGGCTGTGTCTTGTAAAAGAAATTGGAGAGAGTTTATTTACCGGCGGGCCAGCACGGTCACGGTGCAGAGGAAGGTCAGGGAGCGGTATGAGAAAACCTTTGGTCGATATCCGGCCTGTTGATGATTCTCGTTCCTTTGGCTTTTGCTGTTGATGCGACTTTGGGAGAGCTGTGGCTTATGTAAGCTCCACCAAAAAAAGTCCAACCTTTTTCCAACTTCCGCTGCAGCTTCAAGGGACAGCAGCTTCTGATATTATATTGATAAGGTGACGTTGATATTATGGAGATGATGGAAAGATAGCTCGGACTTGTATTTAGGATACACCGGTAGATTAGGGATCTTAGCTTACTGTCAGGCTATTCAATGCTATCGCCTGCACTCCGCCATACTCGAGGCTGAAGGTGCCCTGCCTTAGGTACCTTGCCTTAGCAGTTGTATCTACCTTATTCAAGGCTCCCGTTTTACTCTAAGATGCTGACTACTCCGTAGCTATCTTGACCCCTGGGGTGAGATGAGGCAAGCTAGCCAGAGCCCGTCATTATATCAAGCGCTTGGCCGCAAAGACCGCCGAGACTTCGGGTGTTTGTTGAGTTGCGTCTCAGACCAACTAACGACAGCCATCAAGGGGGAGCTATTTTCGGATTCTTCCTGGTCCAGATGACGAGTACGAAGCTGCCCATAGTACAGAGTACCGCGAAGTATATGCATTATTTATGTTGACGTTGACGTTGACGGTGACGGTGACGACGCTACCTGTCCTCGGTTGGTATACGTGGTGAGCCATGGGTCATGTAACTGATAGCAACTAAATGACGACAACATAGGCTATACTGCGGCCCGAACACAGGATCTCAACAGCTTAAGCTGTCGAAACCGGTCTAAGGAACAGGAACAGGCCAGCCTCCCGCATCGTCAGCGCTTTATCTCGTTGCACTTTAGTCGAAGAGAGGCCTCACGTGGCATCTCAGGTACCTGTGTGGCGGCGTCAGGAAGCAAAAGGGGAAGAAGCAAACATACAAGCCTTGGTAGTACGGCGGATCTCGTCGCTTGATTGATAGTTAGATCCAGGGCCCAACGCCAAAGAAAGAATAAAAGGAGGCTGTTCAGAGAAAACCCGGAGCAGCCGGTGTTAAAGGGGCTCCCTTGTCTGAATCCTTCCTGCGACTACGAAAGCTCCTCGGAATCAGCCTCAGCCCAGCGTCCGAACATAGGCCATAGGATGCAGCAACTGGACCGAGACGCAGCAGGCATGGCGGACACATTGGCCCGGTCGAGCAGCAGCAAACGCCCATATTGAAGATGAAATCCTTTGGCCGCCGTCTATTTACAACGCTACAAACACTATGTAACTCCTCGCGCCTCCGAGCCTTGGCGTGACCGAGACTCCGGCTTGGATCCCGTCATCTTCTCCGTTCTTTTTCGCTGGGGCGTCTTGTCTCTCGCCCATCCGGTTTGTGTTTCTTGTGTGTTTAGTTTTTTATATACGGCAGCTGTCTGGACCGCCGGCGAGGGAGACGAGAGAACGACAGGCAGACATCCGGCGGAGAGTGAGACAGAAGCATCCCAAGGCTACAACTCGCATAATTTATGCCAGCCATCCATGGCCATGCTGCAGGGATAGGGGTCCTTAAAAAATAAGTTCCGCTCCCGGGCTTCATCCTGCTAATACTATCCGGCTGTCTATCTGCCTGCTGTCATTCAATCTGCTTCACCAGAATATTATATAACACTCCCGCCACTCACTCCATGAGCCGCCTACCGTCCTATTGAATACGTATAGCAAGCCACCTTGCTGGTGATGAATTAAAGTAGTGCCTGCTACTACCTTCAGCAGCTCTTCTTCTTCTGCTCTTGTTTGTTTCTTTCTCTATCTCTATCTATATACAATACCAAAAAAGGGCGCTTAAAAGTGTTTTATTTTTCTTATTTTTTTTTTGATTTTTTGGTCTTTTCTTTCCGTCTTAGCTTCTCGCACATAACCAATTCCTTATATTCCTCTCTATCTTCTTTGATACCAGCCTTACCTCACCCTTTTATCCTCATCCTCTGTTCTTCTTTCTATTAAAGCTGCGTCTGGCTAGTCAATATGTTCCGTGTGGGATCATGGCTGTACTCCAAGGCAGCTCCAACAAACGCGTCTACTCAGTCTCTGGATGCTGTGACTGAGTCTCAAGACCGTACGTCACTTATACCTCTTCTACCATTAAAAAAACACCTGCTAATAGTTTATTCCCTTCTATAGTTGAACATGCATTAAAGGGTATTCTTCTATAGATATTTGATATCCATATTTATAACTTCACTAACGGTTTTCCGAAGCTGCTGCCTATATTATGGATGACGATGTTGATTCAGCAGAGAGAGATCTTGATAAAGGCGATTCATCTTTTCACAAGGTAAACAGCAGCTGGATATCTGTTTCTATCCTCAATAACCAGCTAACGGTTTGCTTTGTATAGCTAGGAAAAGGAATTGTCACCTTTGTTAGAGCTACACTTGGCTTAGAGCAGGATATTATGCGGCAAGGTATGGCTTGTTATAAGGAGCAATCTTTGCCTATGATACTGACTGACACTATGCTATAGCTGCTTCGAGGCTTATGGATGCAGAAACAAGTGCCTATAATGACCAGCATAAAGCTCAGCACAATGCAAATGCTGTCAATGCCTATCATTCTACTATATATGCTCCCGGGACCGAGTACTTGCTATGTCAATGTATGGCCCAGCTAATGGCCGCCCTGGTGGGAGTCCTCAGCGAGAGCTTTTCGGAGAGCATAAAGGCATTCTATAAGCTGAGAAAGGCTTATATTGCACTCGATAGCATTGCTCAGATGGAAGAAAAGTACCTGAAAGAAAACAACCTCCGCCTTGGAGTCGATTCACGTTTCGAGAGTGCCAATGGTAGCCCCGTTCCCGGGAGATCTGCAAGAACTGTAGACTCTTCGTCGCAAGGTACTGTTTGAATTCGAAATCTTTGCTCATGGAGCACCCTTCTGGACTAACATTACTAACACTACCAGCAGAACCAAAACCAGAGGCTAAGGCTCCCCTTCCAAGATCAATGTCAGCTACCTCCCTCGAGGAGGTTACAAATGAAAGTTTTCAGAGCTCACAGAGACGACTTTCTCGGCTTACTTTGGGAAGTGAAAGTGATGTTTCGAAAGTAGCCGAGGGGCCCCAGGCCAAGCTTGACATGGACGGGGATGTCGATATCTTCTCCCACCCCGTAGACCATTTCATTCACTCGGGAACCAGTCTTTGCTTCGGTATGCTGCTTCTGTTCATCTCCATGGTACCTCCAGCTCTCAACAGGATCTTATATATTATTGGTTTCCGTGGTGACCGATCCCGAGGGCTACGGCTGCTCTGGCAAGCTAGCCAGTCTCATACATTGACGGGAGCTATTTCTGCCCTGACCTTATTAGCCTTTTACAACAGTTTCGTGCGTGCTGCTGATATTTTACCTGATCCCGTTGATGGGAATGTGGATGATATCGAGGGCTATCCAATGAGTCGACTTGAGAGTTTGCTCGCTGACATGAGGAACCGTTTCCCTCACAGCCAGCTCTGGGTCCTGGAAGAGTCCAGAATGCGAGGAGCTAACAGGGAGGTTGAAGAGGCCCTGAGATTGATTCGTAATGGGAAGAAGAGCCCTCTGAAACAGGTACAGGCTCTCCACGTTTTTGAGAGGAGTATAGATGCCATGCATCTACACCAGTACGAGCTATGTGCAGAGTCATTCATAGAGGTAAAGTAATTCCCAGAGGTAGCCCAGGTAATATATTGGTACTAATTACTATTCCCAGTGCTCCGAGCTTAACTCTTGGTCCCGGGCATTGTATTTCTACATTGCTGGCGCCGCACATGTAGAACTTTATCGCAAATACCTCAAGGAGTCACCAGAGAAGGCAAAAGAGCATGGTAAAAAGGCCGAGGAACTCTTCCGAAAAGCACCATCCCAGGCAGGGAAGAAAAAATTCCTGGCGCGCCAACTTCCGTTCGATGTGTTTGTTACCCGCAAGGTTGCAAAATGGGACGCTCGCGCGAAGGAGCGGAACATTCCCTTCATTGATGCAGTCGGTGTATCACCAATCGAAGAGATGAATTTCTTCTGGAACGGGCACAGCCGCATGCCCGACGAACAGTTGGATGTCGCGCTCCAAAACTTGGCGTGGTCAGAGTCCAACGAAACATGGGCTTCTGAACCACTTGATGAACACTCCATATTAGCTCTCCTCAGGGCTTCCCTACTGCGAGCCCAACGGAAACATGAAGAGGCGAAGACTATCCTGAAATCTGAGATTCTATGCCACGACAGGGCGCTATTCAAGGGTTCAAATAAGGATGACTGGACCTGCCCATCAGCACATTATGAGATGGCTGCAAACATATGGATGGAACGTCATTGTTACCGACCCTTCGGCCGTGCCACTTCTATTCCGGCATCTGATAAGGATGATCAGCGCAAGGACGAGGCAACCCGTGCAGCCGAGGATGAACGACGGGTCCAGGAATGCAAGGAGTGGCTTGAGAAGGTATACAGGTGGGAGACATATGAGCTGGACGCTCGGATCGGACTGAAGGTCACCACCGCGCAGGAAACAATTACCAAATGGGAGGAGGCCCACACCAAATAACTAACTCACTAGATGGCCTCAGACCATATATTTATCAAATCCCATGTCACATATCTAATAACGTTCTCTGCAGCTAATACATCCCTTACCGGCTTCATCTTATCCATCCTTCTTGCACTGTTTCGAGTGCGGTTGTTATTATCTACACCTTTCGTCTGGAACGGTAACTGCTGGAGAATGTCGATGCCAGTCGCCGCGGCTACTAAACTCCCACAAGTGTTCTCCACCATAAGAACACTCCAGCCTCCAAGGTTATCAGATTTGTTCCGACGGCATCAAGTACTCCGTCAGTACGGAGTATACCATATCTGTATATTTAGAGTCTCTAGATGAGGCATGGCCGGCAAGTGTCTTGTAT